AACAAAAGCAGAAGATATTAAGAAGAGGTGCTAAGAATATACAGAAGAACTGTACCAAAAAAAATCTTCATGATCCAGATAATCACGATGGTGTGATCACTCACCTAGAGCCAGACATCCTGGAATGTGAAGTCAAGTGGGTCTTAGGAAGCATCATTATTAAGCTAGTGGAGGTGATGGAATTCCAGAGAGCTATTTCAAATCCTAAAAGATGATGTTGTGAAAGTGCTAAACTCAATATGCCAGCAAATTTGGAAAACTCAACAGTGGCCACAGGACTGGAAAAGGTCAGTTTTCATTCCAATCCCAAAGAAAGGCAATGCCAAAGAATGCTCAAACTACCGCACAATTGCACTCATCTCACACACTAGCAAAGTAATGATCAAAATTCTCCAAGCCAGGCTCTAATAATACATGAACCATGAACTTCCAGATGTTCAAGCTGGTTTTAGAAAAGGCAGAGGAACCAGAGATCAAATTGTCAACATCTGGGTGGATCATCGAAAAAGCAGGAGAGTTCCAAAAAAACATCTACTTCTGCTTTATTGACTATGCCAAAGGCTTTGACTGTGTGGATCACAACAAACTGGAAAATTCTGAAAGAGATGGGAATACCAGACCACCTGACCTGCCTCTTGAGAAACCTGTATGCAGGTCAGGAAGCAACAGTTAGAACTGGACATTGAACAGACTGGTTCCAAATAGGAAAAGGAGTGTGTCAAGGCTGTATATTGTCACCCTGCTTATTTAACTTATATGCAGAGTACATCATGAGAAATGCTGGATGAAACACAGGTTGGAATCAAGATTGCTGGGAGAAATATTAATAACCTCAGATACGCAGATGACAACATCCTTATGGCAGAAAGTGAAGAAAAACTAAACAGCCTCTTGATGAAAGTGAAAGAGGAGACTGAAAATGTTGGCTTAAAGCCCAACATTCAGAAAACAAAGATTATGGCATCCAGTCTCATCACTTCATGGCTAATAGATGGGGAAACAGTTGAAAGAGAAGCAGACTTTATTTTTGGGGGGCTCCAAAATCACTGCAGATGGTGACTGCAGCCATGAAATTAAAAGATGCTTACTCCTTGGAAGAAAAGTTATGACCAACCTAGACAGCATATTAAAAAGCAGAGACATCACTTGGCCAACAAAGGTCCATCTAGTCAAGGCTATGGTTTTTCCAGTAGTCATGTATAGATGTGAGAGTTGGACTATAAAGAAAGCTGAGTGCCCAAGAATTGATGCCTTTGAACTGTGGTATTGGAGAAGACTCTTGAGAGTCCCTTGGACTGCAAGGAGATCCAACCAGTCCATCCTAAAGGAAATCAGCCCTGGGTGTTCATTGGAAGGACTGATGTTGAAGCTCAAACTCCAATACTTTGGCCACCTGACACGGAGAGCTGACTCATTTGAAAAGACTCTGATGCTGGGAAAGATTGAAGGGAGGAGGAGAAGGGGACGACAGAGGATGAGACGGTTGGATGGCATCACCGACTCAATGGACATGAGTTTGAGTAAACTCTGCAAGTTGGTGATAGACAGGGAGGCCTGGCATGCTGCAGTCCATGTGGTCACAAAGAGTGGGACACGACTGAGTGACTGAACTAAGCTGATATTTGTACAGTGAGCATCTAGGTGATCCCTCTTTTATGAAAGATAAAGCAACATCTTCAGATGAAACATATAATTAGATGCTAAACATTATTTCTTTTCTATAGAATCCTAATTATTTTCATGTTTCTTAAGAAATTTACATATAGTGCTTTATTAGTGCACAGGTCACACTTTTTCAAACCTTGCTGTGACCCATTTGATGGAATTTGGACTTTGAAGTTACAAGATTACCTCTTTTAGGATGGTAGAAGAGGGGGGAAAAGATTATATAGGAACAATTTCCAGGTGGCTCAAGTGGTAAAGAATCCACCTGCCAAAGTAAGAGACACAGGCAGGAGACCCAGGTTCAATCCCTGGGTTGAGAAGATACCCTTAAGAAGGAAATTGCAACCCACTCCAGTATTCTTGCCTGGGAAATCTCACGGACAGAGGAGTCCGGCTGGCCACAGTCCATGGGGTTACAAAGAGCTGGACATGACTGAGCACATAGGAGTAATTAAACTTTAGGAATGAAAAAGATACTGAGTTTTGCCTTGTTAGAGTCCCTGAATACTGAGCAGAACAAATGTAATAACAGTTTTACTGAGAGATTGATTTTTCAATACTTAAACTTTCCTATACATTTTTTCCTCCATTTTTTAGCTGAAGGAAAGATCAAAAGGGGTTAGTATAATCAACAATGTTGCTCTGTTAAGTGTGCTTTGTAAGATGCAAATATCATCTAAGATGCTAATAATCAGAAACGGTGATAGCTGCATCCTGCTATATGCTTAATTAAGAAGATGGAATAATGAATCTCTATCTATATTTTAGAAAAGGCCAAAGCCCTGCTGAACTAGCTAACTGGACTTTATACAATGAATTGCCAAGATAAAGAATGCAGATGCCACCATTTAAGGCATAGACAACCTTCATATTTAAGGTAACACTGCTCCTGCTTAGAACTGTTTATGTTTAATTATGTATTCAATATTTGCCTTCTCATTGTTGCAGGCTTTCTAAAGGCAAGGACCATATATTCAGAATTTTTCACAATATCTGGAATGCTGTAGCCTCATCGAATGAGTGAATAATCTAATTTTAATTTGGGAAGATTAATTAAATTGGGGAACTCTGTTAGTTAATACACTGATCTCTTCTATTAGTCAACATTTAATTATCTATAAAAATTGAGATATGAGTAGGAAAAAACAATTTTCACAAATAACCTAGTATTTTTTTTCCTTAAACATGAGAAAACCAAACAAAATTTAATCACACATATATATATGGGAGAGGACTTCCCAGGAGGCTCAGTGGTAAAGAATCTGCCTGCCAATGCAGGAGATGCAGGAGACACATGACATGTTCGAGCCCTGGGTTGCAAAGATCCCCCCCTGGAAGAGGAAATGGCAACTCACTCCAGTATTCTTCCTGGAGAATCCCAAGGACAGAGGATCCTGGTGGTCTACAGTCCACGGGGTTGCAAAGGGTCAGACACACCTAAGCAACCTAGCTCACATGCATAGATAAGAGTGACCCAGAGGAATTGAATAACTCCCCCAAATGGTCAAAACCCTCACCTTAAATACCATCCTTAGCTAAAGCCATTGGGGGCAGTGGTTTGGGGACCTCAAAGTTAGGGAGGGGGAAAGGCAACTCACATGGAGATAGAAAGCAAAAGATTAGTAAAAAAAAAAATGTAGGGCAGAAACAATGGGATACAAAGAGGAATTTTAACAGCCTCTCCCTCTCTGTCTACCATAACAATGAGTTCATCCTATGGTTATCTATGGTGATGGCTGCATTCCTGGGTCAGCTCCTCTGTTTACAATCTTTTAGACAGTTAGGGGGAAGATCAAAGCTTATTCCTGAGCCTCTGGGGCCTTGATTTTCAGCTAGAAATAGTGTACGGGCCAAAGGTGGCAAATTTTGCTCTTCGGAATTTTTTTAAAGACATTTCATAGTCCAGAAGTCGATAGACTGCTTTATCTCACCAAGTCAGTTTCTTAGTTCTGACAATAAAGTTGTGTCAGTTACTCATTTCAGGAAGCACTGATGGAAGCAGGCTCTTAAGGTTAGGTCTATAGGACACAGGCAATCAAGTATTTAATAAGATGCATCTCTATGGAGACAAAAGTAAAACAAGGTTTAGTGATTGGTGGGAGGTGGTTTACTCAGTCATGTTTGACTCTCAAACCCCATGGACTGTAGCCTGCCAGGCTCCTCGGTCCATGGGATTCTCCAGGCAAAAATACTGGAGTGGGTTGCCATTTTCTTCTCCAGGGTATCTTCCCAACCCAGGAATCGAATCTGGGTCTCCTGCATTGCAGGTAGATTCTTTAAAGACTGCACTGTTAGGGAATGATTGGAGCAAATTATAAACTCAATATCGAGTCCTGAGAGTTTCTACTTGAGAAGATTTGGACAGGGAAGACTGGCATGCTGCAGTCCATACAGTCGCAAAGATTTGGACAGGGAAGATTGGCAAGCTGCAGTCCATACAGTCGCACATACACAACGAAGTGACTCAACAACAACAAAAGCAAGGAGAACAGGCAGCTCATGCTCAAAAGCACCAAATTCCCCATTTATCTGGGGAAGTTTGTATGGGTAACACTTGGGGTCGGGGTTACAGGTGTGTGGCTTTGTGCTGATCGGTTGGTGGTGAGGTAACAGGGTGGGCCGCAGAAATCTGGCCCTCGGCCAGAAGTAGCCATCCTTCGCCTGGGTGGGGGCCTTCAGGTCTCAGAAGAATGTAAAGGTGTTGTTATGTATATTCCTTTGGGAGGAGCCAGGAACCTGCCCCAAGGTGGCACTGCTGTTTCTAGACTATCCTCCCTTGTTTCTGTATTCCCTCCCTTCCTTGGTTGCTAGTGTTCAGTCCTTGAGTTTCAGGCTCTTTGCGACCCCCCTGGACTGCAGCACGCCAGATTTCCCTGTCCTCCACTATCTCCCAGAGCTTGCTCAAACTCATGTCCATGAAATCGGTGATGCCATCCAACCATCTCATCCTCTGTCGTCCCCTTCTGCTCCCGCCCTCAATCTTTCCCAGCATCAGGGTCTTTTCCAATGAGTCTGCTCTTCGCATCAGATGGCCAAAGTATTGGAGCCAACTGTTTGAACCTGCCCTTCGGAACTCAGGGAAGGTCATGGAGGCTGAATGAAGCCGACTTCCTACAAATAAGAAATGGGGGCCACAGAAAGGATTTGTACCCCGAAGCCCCACAGCATCCTGCTCTACTTGATAACAGGAGATATACTGTCCTTTTAATGTTCTACTCAGCGGGCACCTTTGCTCTGGCAGCAAAACAGCTTTGAATAGGAGGCATCCAGTCCTGAATTGCTAAAGATTGCCTCCACAATAAAAAAGGGTGGATTCAGGCATCCTGGTTACAAGGATGGCTGCTTTGCAAACCTTGGTATCACTTTTAAAGAGATACGCTAGGGAAAACAGGACTGGAGGGAGAGGTTAGGGAGGATGACAAGAAACTATCATCAGTTAGGGTACAAGGCACTTTCAGTGGTGAATCTTATTAATTTGAACCTATAACATTCATGGCACTGAACACCACTCTGGTATTCTTGCCTGGGAAATCCCTTGGATGGGGGAGCCTGGCAGACTACAGCCCATGGGGTCGGGAAAGAGCTGGACAGGATTTAGCAACTAAACAGCAACATTCTAGTGAGAGGGGGGAAACCCCCAGTTGCAGAAGAAGAAACTGACAGTTACAAATATTTGGAGACTTGTTCTGGTAAAGGAAAAGAAGAGAAAATCCCACCAGTTTCCATGTTGTATGTGGTTAAGAAACTGATGTGTTAAATTTACTTGAAAATTGCTAGTTTGTGCAGAATGTGAATATCAACCAAGGCCTCAATATAGATGAAAGTCAAAGTGAAAGTCACTCAGTCATATCCAACTCTTTGAGACCCCATGGACTGTAGTCCATGGAATTCTCCAGGCCAGAATACTGGAGTGGGTAGCCTTTTCCGGCTCCAGGGGATCTTCCCAACCCAGGGATCAAACCTAGGCCTCCCACGTTACAGGTGGATTCTTTACCATTTGAACCACCAGGGAAGCCCAAAAAGGCATTCTGCATGAAAGCTTATAGGAGTGAGTGTGCCTAGCTGTGTCCGACTCCTTGTGACCCTTTGGACTGTAGCCTGCCAGGTTCCTCTGTCCATGGGATTTTTCAGGCAAGTATACTGGAGTGGGTGGCCATTCCCTTCTCCAGGGACTGAACTTGTATATCCTGTGTTTCCAACACTGTAGGCAGATTCTTTACCCACTGAGGCATCAGGAAGATAACAGATAGATGTTATCAAAATGGAAAATACGAATCCCAAACAAAGCACATCATAGTCAATTAGCCTATAAGAAAATAATAGTAGGACTTTTATCTGTGTTTAAATTTATCTCATCCTTTAAATTAAAATTAAAAAAGGTTTATTTTTCTGAATGTGTCACCATATACATGTTAGTACAGTGGTGCCTATATACAATATTTGAATGAATAAACATAAAATATAAGCATTAAAAAAAAAATTGATGCGCTATCACGGAGCAGGCAGAACCAGAGATGCTTCCCAAGCGTGGGCAGTTAGAAATTAGATTTTGGCAGGGGGTGATCAACAGAGAAGTCAGAGCTGTGGTTAAATATATTTGACGGCCTTATTCGGAAATCCTGCAGTTCCTGGAAAGAGGTTGGTCAGTAGAGTTTCTTAGGGGGCATTTTTCAGCGGCCTCCCCGCGAACGCAGACTTTGCCCGGGGTGGACAGAGTGGACGGAGCCTGCCACCAAGAAGGATGTCTCCACCCCCCGCAGGGTCGCCTCTGCCCCGTCGAGGCCCCCGGGCGACCGCAGGAACCGCGAGCTCGGGGCCNATAGGCTACCCACTCCAGTATTCTTGGGCTTCTCTGTTGTCTCAGGCGGTAAGGAATCCACTTGCAGTGACGGAGACCTTAGTTCGATCCCTGGGTTGGGAAGATCCCGTAGAGAAGGGAACCCACTCCAGGATTCTGGCCTGGTGAATGCCATGGCCTATATACAGCCTACGGGGTCGCAAAGAGTCGGACACGACTGAGCGCCTTTCACTCAGTCAGGGTACTGTTAAGAGCCGTTGTAAAGAAACTTTAGAGCTGCCATTATTCGCAGGGGTCAAGGAGTTTATTTCGTTTCCAAGAGTCGAAACTTACAACTCCCCTTCTGTGATCATTTGTTGCAAAAATCTCTGGGAAATCCTCCCCGTGTGTCAGCCGCTGCGCTGTGAAGTAGACCTCGGTGGGAGAACAAGAAACAGAGGCCCCTGCTCTAATACATAACACGGGGAAATGACAAGATTCTCTCTCATCTAAAGCTCCTTTAACCAACTCAGAATTACAAAGCGGAATTTGAAGGTTTTCTGCATTTAAGTTTGAATTTTTTGTAATGCTCCCCGTGATCTGTTTCTCGGCTGAGGGCTCTTTGTGTTGGGTGGGGGGACTTTTAGTTTTTATAAAAGTCAAAAGCACTTATTGTGTATGCTCCCCCCTCCCCCCGCCACAGGTTGGCTTAGTAAGCCCCTCAAAGATCCGGGCACTTCAGCAGACAGTCACCAGAATCTAAGGTGGAAACTGATATCTGAGATGAAAGCTGATAATATAAAATCATTTCTTCGGTAAGTTTGTTTTGAATAATTGATCTTAAAAATAAGAATTTTGAAACAATGCAGTGAGAACTGTTTGAAAACTGATTATATTCATGTGGGTAACCTTCTTTGTGTGAAATGATGTAATATCATATTAATTCCTGATAGTTTAAATGTCTGTTTATACAACTCTTAAGAGTAAAATCTATTTGAGTGTTGCAGAAGTCTTTCTTCCCTAACTTCATGTGCAGAAAAAGTCTTTGGTTTCTTTATTAAGAGATGTTCCAACTTCATGTACTTTGGATGGCAGCTGAAGGTTACTCTCTGTCCCCCAGGCCTGGGTTTAATCAGGGAATTTATTTAAATGTCACATTCTATCAGGAAGACTCAGATGGTGGTAAACTTTGATTTAGAGAGAAAGAGATTAAAGTTTCAGATTCTGTTCACCACAAATTAGACCTTTGTCCCATCTACAAACGTAAGGAACAGAAAGAGGACAGAATGAAAGCAAAAGGATCAGTGCAAACCCCCCAGTGTCTTAGCAAGAGAAAGAATGACATTCAGGAGAGTGATTATGAAGTGCTTGAAGGCAGCTATTGTGACATTTATTTCACTAAAAACAAACAAACAAACAAACAAAAACAGTTTTATTGAAGTATAAGAAAATTAGAGATACCAAGGGAACATTTCGTGCAAAGATGGGCTCAATAAAGGACAGAAATGGTATGAACCTAACAGAAGCAGAAGATATTAAGAAGAGATGGCAAGAATACACAGAAGAACTATACAGTAAAGATCTTCACGACCCAGATAATCACGATGGTGTGATCACTCACCTAGAGCCAGACATCCTGGAATGTGAAGTCAAGTGGNCTGGGTCAGATCCTGAGTCACCATCCCCACCCCAGGAAATGACCCCTCCCAGCAGAGTCAGCGGGCAGTTTAAGGCTAATGGGTTGGCAAGAAGGCCAGCCTGGGAGCTGGGCCAGGGCCTCAATCTCATTGCTCCTCAACACCAGCAGCATCCTGGCTCTGAGTGAGGCCTGAGCCACCTTCAGGAACTCCCCTCCCCACCAGTTCTAAAAGCCCAGCCTGTGCTGACTGCAGGACGTGATTAAGACCCCAGCCCAGGACTTCCCTGGCAGTCCAGTGATTAGAAATCCGCACTTTCACTGCAAACAGCACAGGTTCGATCCCCAGTCAGTGGGGGAACTAAAATTTTTGCATGCCGTGCAGTGCAGCCAAAATAAATAAATGAATAAAATAAAGCCATTCCACCTGCTGCTTTATTTAAAAAAAAAAAAACCTTTGGGGATTTCCCTGCTGGTCCAGTGGTTAAGACTCTACACTTCCAGTGCAGGGAGTGCAAATTCAATCCCTGGTTGGGGAACTAAGATCCCATATGCCATGATGCATGGCCAAAAAAAAAAAAATTAAGCGATTAAGGAACTAGACCCTCACTCACACATACATACAAATTTTTCTTTAAATTTCAGGGACTTCACAGAATCCCCCACCACAGATCCATAGTCCCCACATTCATTCAACTCCCTCAGGTTGCAGATGAGGAAGCTGAGACCCAGAGAGGGAAAGGTACTGGGCCAAGCTCACACAGTGTATACTGGCAGAACCAAGGGGCATATTTCTCCCCATGCCTCTTATAGCTATATTCAGAGACTTGTCATCCTGGCCAAAAGGTGGGGTCACCTGCATACCGCCTCACCTTTGCCTCCTACACCTGGGGAAATGCTAATAGCTGAGCATCTCTCCAACTGCCACAGCATCTCTCCAACTGCCACTAGGTGGCGCCTGCACCATGTGTTAGGCTGAAGTTAACAAACATCCTGGAAAATTAAAGGTGCTCCAAAGACCTACCCCTCTTGATGTGTATCTGAAGCCAGTGAGCCTAGAGACTGTGCTTTGCAACAAAAGAAAGCCCACGCGCAGCAACGAAGACCCAGAGCAATCAAAAATAAATAAATAAATAAAATATAAAAAAAGAATCTGTGCAGCATCAAACTGGCGAAAGCACATAGTCCTTTGATAACCTGGAGAAATTCTGGGGAGGCCCCCAGCCAGCAGGGCCAGAACTGGAACTCAAGCCAGACGGGTGTCCTGACCTCAGGTCAGTGCTGTCACCCTGCTTATTTAACTTATATGCAGAGCACATCATGAGAAATGCTGGGCTGGAGGAAGCACAAGCTGGAATCAAGATTGCCTGGAGAAATATCAATAACCTCAGATATGCAGATAACATCACTCTTATGGCAGAAAGTGAAGAAGAACTAAAGAGCCTCTTGATGAAAGAGGAGAGTGAAAAAGTTGGCTTAAAGCTCAACATTCAAAAAACTCAGATCATGGCATCCGGTCCCATCTCTTCAAGGCAAATCAATGGGGAAACAGTGGCTGACTTTATTTTGGGGGGACTCCAAAATATCTGCAGGTGGTGATTGCAGCCATGAAATTAAAAGACGCTTACTCCTTAGAAGAAAAGTTATGACCAACTTAGACAGCACATTAAAAAGCAGAGACATTGCTTGGCCAACAAAGGTCCATCTAGTCAAGGCTATGGTTTTTCCAGTAATCATGTATGGATGTGAGAGTTGGACTATAAAGAAAGCTGAGCACCAAAGAATTGATGCCTTTGAACTGTGGTGTTTGAGAAGACTCTTGAGAGTCCCTTGGACTACAAGGAAATCCAACCAGTCCATCCTAAAGAAGATCAGTGCTGAGTGTTCATTGGAAGGACTGATGTTGAAGCTGAAACTCCAATACTTTGGCCACCTGATGCAAAGAGCTGACTCATTTGAAAAGACCCTGATGCTGGGAAAGATTGAGGGCAGGAGGAGAAGGGGATGACAGAGGATGAGATGGTTGGATGGCATCACCCACTCAGTGGACATGAGGTTGGCTAAACTCTGGGAATTGGTGATGGACAGAGAGGCCTGGAGTGCTGTGGTCCATGGGGTCATAAAGAGTCAGACACGACTGAGTGACTGAACTGAACTGAATTTTCATAAAATATACTGCATCCATATAAATTTTATAATTTGAGAGTAATGACATATGCATAATACACTCAGCCAACCTCCTCAATCAAGAGACAGAAAAATTATATCAAGGCTTTGCGGTTATTCCTCCTTCACTGTCTTACTATGGATTCCTTTTTATCTTCTAATATTTTATATAAATAGAATCATACAGTATGTGCTTTTTTGTGTCTTTCACTCAGCATCATGAATGATTTTGGAATTCAGCCAGGTTGTTGATTATATCTGTGGAGTACCTTGCTTTTTATTGCTGAGTATTATTCTGTTGTATGGATCAGTTCAGTTCAGTCGCTCAGTCTTGTCCAACTCTTTCCATCCCATGGACTGCAGCACGCCAGGCCTCCCTGTCCATTTCCAATTCCCGGAGCTTGCTGAAACTCATGTCTGTCGAGTTGGAAATGCCATTCAACCATCTCATCCTCTGTCGTCCCCTTCTCCTCCTGCCTTCAATCTTTCCCAGCATCAGGGTCTTTTCCAGTTAGTTAATTCTTTGCATCAGGTGACCAAAGTATTGGAGTGTCAGCATCAGCCCTTCCAATGAATAGATTTTATAGATAGATCCCCAATATGTAGTTGATGGGTATTGGGTTGTTTCTGGTTTTTGATCATGGTGAACAAAGTTGGAATGAGCATGTGTTTATGTATGTTTTCATTTCTCTTGGAATGGCTGTGTTGGGTGATAAGCATATGTTTAACTTTTTAAGAAAATGACAGATTTAAAAGTGGTATACAATTTTATATTCTTACCTTAGTAATATTGGTTGTTTCATTTTAACCATTTTAGTAGGTGTGTATTAGTGTCGGGCTTCTCAGATGGCACTAGTAAAGAACTCGCCTGAAAGTGCGTGAGACATGAGAGATATAGGTTCTATCTCTGAATCTGGAAGATCCCTGCAGGAGGGCATAGCAACCCACTCCAGAATTCTTGCCTGGAAAATCCCATGGACAAAGGAGCCTGGCAGGCTACAGTCCATGGGGTTGCAAAGAGTCGGACATGACTAAAGCGACTTGGCACGCACACATGTAGCAGTATCTCATTGTGGTTTTAATTTATATTTTCTTGATGGTTGGTGATATTAAGCATCTACTTGTGTGCTTATTGGACATCTGCATATCTTTTATATGGTCCCTGTTCAATGTTGGTTTTTTTTTTTTCATTTAAAAATTATTTTGTTTTGTTATTGAGTGTAAAAGTTCTTTATACATTCTTTTGTCAGACATGTGAGTATTTTCTTCTGTTCTATGGTTGGCCTTTTTTATTTTTTCAGTGGAGTTTATATAGGGCAGAGATTTTAAATTTTGATGAAGTCCAGTTGAACAATTTTTGTCTTATAGTTCATACTTTTGTGTTCTATCTAATTTAGCCTATGAGAAGTTGTGAAGATTATTTTTGAAGTTTTATGATTGTAGCTTGCACATTTAGGTCAGTGGTCCACTTCAAGGTAATTTTTATGTGCAGTATGATATGAGTTGATGGTTTTCTAAATACAAATATGTAATTATTTCTGTAAGATTTGTTTAAAAAACTTCCCTTTCCCATTTGAATAGCTTTGATATCTTTGACTAAAATCACTTGAACATAATGGCCTGGTTTTGGATATTATATTTTCTTCTGTCATTGTGTCGCTCAGTCATGTCCAACTCTTTGCAACCCCATGTACTGCAGCCCACCACGCTTCCCTGTCCTTCACTATCTCCTGGAGTTTGCTCGGATTTGTGTCCATTGAGTCAATGATGCCATCCAACCATCTTATCCTCTGTCACTGACTTCTCCTCCTGCCTTCAATCTTTTCCAGCATCAGGGTCTTTTCCAATGAGTTGGCTCTTTGCATTAGGTGACCAGAATATTGGAGCTTCAGCTTCAGCATCAGTCTTTCCAGTGGATATTCAGGGTTGATTTCCTTTAGGATTTTGTTTTGGTCTTGCTGTCCAAGGGGCTCTTGAGAGTCTTCTCCAGCACCACAGTCCGAAAGCATCAATTCTTCACTGCTCAGCCTTCTTTATGGTCCAACTCTCACATGACTGCAAAAACCACAGCTTGGACTTATATGGACCTTTGTCAGCAAAATATTTTCTTCTGTTGATCTATTAATCTCAGTACCATGTTGTCTTGTTTGGTATAGCTTAATAGTAAGTTGAAAATGAGATAGGGTTGATCCTACATATTTTGCTTTTTAAAAATTGCTTTGACTATTTTATTTGCATTTCCAAATAAATTTTAAAATCAACTTCTTAATTCCTACCAAAGCAAAAAAATGCCTGCTGGAACTTTGATTAAAATTGTATTGAATTTGTGAGCAAATTAGAGTCTTTTAATCTCTTTATTCATTGTAGGGATGTACTGTGTATGTTAGTTGCTCAGTCATGTCCAACTCTTTGTGACCTCATGGACTGTGGTTCAGTCCCTGCCAGGCTCCTTTGTCCATTAAATTCGCCAAGCAAGAATACTGGAGTGGGTTGCCATTTCCTTCCCCTGGGGAACTTCCCAATACAGGGATCGAACCCAGGTCTCCTGCATTGCAGGTGGATTCTTTACTATCTGAGCAGACAGGAAAGCCCTCGGGATGTACTAGTTTCCTGAGTAGATCCACCTGCCAATGCAGGAGACACAAGAGAAGCGGTTCAACCTCTGGGTCAGGAAGATCCTCTGGAGGAGGAAATGGCAACCCACTGCAGTATTCTTGCCTGGAAAACTCCATGGTCAGAGGAACCTGGTGGGCTGCAGCCCACTGGCTCGCAAAGAGTAGGACACGACTGAGCAAGCACACACACGCATGCACATGACCGTATTATGTCTGATAAAATAGGAGGAAAATTTAGTTGAGATCCACTACAAAGTTTTCCTCTGTTGAAAGGAACACAAAAGAGGAAATAACTTCTCCTGAACATTGTAGCATGAATATATGATGTGTGGAGCTGCAGTGCCTGTCTTGGGACCATAAGAAGAAATTCAGTAAAGTTGTTCCCTGCTGCTTTTTTTTTTTGCACTTCTTTCATTTCAGTGGGTTGCTGAAAAGGTGAGAGGCAAACCTTAATGATTAATCCTTCACCTTAAATGAAGGGAATATACTTACCTTACCCCCCCTCCCCAGCTGTAAGAATATTATTTATTCACTGAAGGAAATAAAACAATAATGAATTATATGTAGTAGAATTTTAAATATCCCCAGCCCCAGTGGTTTTCTTGTGCATGCAAAAGCTTCTGTCTGCGAACACATTAATACTTTTTAAAAAAAATTAGTTTATCTTACTTGATTGCATCGGGTCTCAGTTACAGCCCACAGGCTCTTTTTGCTGCACACGGGCTTCTCTAGTTGTGGCATGTGGGCTTAGTTGCCCTGTGAAACACGGGCTGTTAGTTCCCTGACCAGGGATCAAACCGGCATTCCCTGCATTGCAAGGCGGATTCTTTTTTTTTTCTTGACTTTCCCTTCATGAGTCTCTCTATTCAAGACCTTTGTTTTGGATTGTCAGCGACTGGCTTGGCCCTTTGAGGCTTCCTATCAGGAATGCTTTAAGTCAAAGTGCATGTGTGGGAAGGTGGATTCTTAATCACTGGACCATAACGGAAGTCCTGATACTTTCCCCCCACACACAAATATTCTTTGGTATTAAATATCAGTAACTTGCAGCTTTAATTAAATTATAATAGACGTGGAAGCTTCACAGAAAAGAAAATGATCGAAGTATCATAATGAGTGGTTAATAGCTTACAGGCGGGGAAGGTAAATGACTAGGAGTGGTATACAGGGATATTTACGTAAGTAGGATGATACTTTTGTCTAAGAGAAGATCTAGTGCAAAGGCTAAAAAGGGTGATGATTTTAGGAGACCAATTAGCATATTAAATGATAAGAGTGAAGAAGTTTAGCAAGTGAATGGTGAGAAATGAAGCTGGAAAGTGGATCAGATGAAAAAAAGGGTCCAAACGCTATGTCCAATGTGAACTTTATAATGCAGAATATAAGGAGCAATAGAAGGATTTTAAGCAGTTGATCAGTATGATCAGATGAATGATTTAATTCCTTCGTGGATCTTCCCGACCCAGGAATCAAACTCAGGTCTCCTGCATTGCAGGCAGATTCTTTACCGACTGAGCTACCAGGGAAGCCCTACTAAATTATAAGCAACTTATTTAACTGCTCTCTGTTTCCTCATTTGCAAAATGGGGACAAAGGAAGTATGGTGATCAGGATTAAATCAGAAAGCCCATGTGAAATACCTCATCAGGTTACTGGCATATAGTAAGTTTTCAGTAAGTACTGATTTTGCTTTACTCTCCGTCTTTTTTGGTTGTTCTATGATTGACTAAAACACCAGTGTGTAGAAGTATAATTGCCCTACTTACAGAGGGAGGGGGTTTGGGAACCTTTTAAAATATTTACCTCAAGCAAAGCGAATTTCATTTGAAACTGTTTGTGAAGTTACTTAACTGTTGCGAATCATTTAGACTCAGAACAAAGAGATCATTGCCCAAACTCAGTTCAGTAAATCTGAATTATGTGATTCCTGGATAACAGGCAAGTACTGAGCCTTTGGAAATACAAACATAAAGCTGCATGGACTTGAACTTCAATGGGATAAATAAACAACTGTATACAGTAGGGTGAAAACAGTGCCACAAGTGCATGCTGGCACAGCTGCCCGACTGTCTGGCAAACATGATGATCTTTGTTTGAGAATATCTTCACTTCCTGATAAGCAGCAAGAAGTTAGCACCGGTGGCGTAGGGATGTGCCGTTCTTCCATCGTGTTTTCTCATCCCCGAGTCCCTGCTGACTGTTCACCACGGGATGTGTTCTTTTCTGAGGAGCACTGTCAGGACCAGCCCAACAGTGAACCTGACCCGAGGGAGCGGAGCCCTAGAAGAACAAAGGAAAAAGAAGACTCAGAAATGAAGTGGGGGACCAGGGGACTGATGCCATTCACAGGCAAAAGCCCAGATCCTAATCCTTGCATGCCTTTTATTTTTAGCTTCTCCTTCCTTGTTTGTGCTCTAGAGATATCTGTTCTTTACAATCTCAGATGTCAAACCTTCAGGCCTTTCATGCTTCTGTTTAGCCCTTCGGCTAGTGACGCCCTTTCTCAGAAACCACCTCAAGGCTCTGGTCATTACTGGTTTTCCATTAGTCACATCAGTACTTCAACATCTTGTTTGCAAGATGTCTTTCCATGATGTACTTTTTACTGCTCCCAGCCCTTCACCTGGGGTGATGAGAAAGTCATTCTTATTTTTCAAAGAAGCCCAGTAAATTATAGTACAGGCCTGTGCATAGCATGTTTCCTGCAAGCACAGTGTGAAAACTGCAGTTACACACAAATATTTAAAAACTGGCATATCTAGAAATCCCTAGCTGTGTTTTTTATATCTTGATTATAGAAATGATACTTAAGTGTAAAATATGAGTTATGCGTCTAGAAGAGTTCCTAGGACATTTTCTGAATATAGTCTTTGAATCCCACTTTAATTTTATTTTCATTTCAGTTCGTTTACAAAGCTACCTCATCTGGCAGGAACGGAACAAAATTTATTGCTTGCCAAGAAAATCCAAAGCCAGTGGAAGAAATTTGGACTGGATTCAGCCGAGTTGGTGCACTATGACGTTCTCCTGTCTTACCCTAATGAGACAGATGCCAGCTACATATCAGTCATGGATGAACATGGAATTGAGGTGACTGGTTTATAATATTGTGTTAGTTTCAAGTGTACAACAAAGTGATTCCATTTTATGTAAATTTTTTTTCAGATTATTTCCCATTATAGATTATTATAAGTTATTGAGTATTGTTCCCTGGGTTACACAGTAAAACTTTGTTGCTTCCCTACTTAATGTATCTGTTAATATCTGTTAATGTATCTGCTAGTGAATCTGTTAATCCTATAGTGCGTGCTAAGTTGGTTCAGCTGTGTCTGACTCTTTTTGACCCCATGGATCATACCCTGGCAGGATACTCTGGCCATGGGATTCTCCAGGCAAGAGTACTGGAGTGGGTTGCCATTTCCTCCTTCATGGGATCTTCCGGACCCAGGGATCAAACCCAAGTCTCTTATGTCTCCTGCCTTGGCAGGGAGGTTCTTCACCACTAGCACCACCTGGGAAGCCCCAGAGTACTGGAGTGGATCGCCATTTCATTCCAAGGGGCTCTTCCCAACCCAGGGATCAAAGCTGTGTCTCCTGCCTGTGTCTCTTGCGTTGGCAGGTGGGTTCTTTACCCCTTGAGCCACCTGGGAATTGTGAATCCTATACTCCTATTTTATTCCTTCCCCCAGTACTTCCCTGGTGTCTCAGATGGTAAAGAATCTGCTTGCAACGCGGGAGACCTGGGTTGGGAAGATTCCCTGGAGCAGAGCATGGCAACCCACTGAGTGTTCTTATCTGGAGAATCCCGTGGACAGAGGAGCTTGGCGGGCTGCAGTCCATGGGGTTGCAAAGAGTTGGACACGACTGAACAGAGCACATCCCTTACTTCTTTAGTAATCATAAGTTATTTTCTGTGTCTGTAAACCTTTCTCTTTGTATATAGACGGATCCGTGTTATTTTTTACATTCCAAATAAAAGTGATGTATTTGTGTCTCTGACATACTTCATTTAGTATGATATTCTCTAGGTCTACCCCTCTTGCTTGCAAATGGCAGTATTCAATACTCTTTTATGGCTGAGTAATATTCCATTGTATATGTAAGCCAAATCTTATTAAACCAGTTGTCTGTTAGTGGGCATGTGGCTTGTTTCCATGTCTGAGCTATTGTAAATAGTGCTGTTTCAAATATTTGGGTGCATATACCTTTTCAAATTAAAGTTTTTGTCTTTTCTATATATATGCCCATGAGTAGAATTGCTAGATCATACAGTAGCTCTATTTTTAGTTTTTTAAGGCACCGCCATACTGTTCTGTATAGTGGCTGTACCAATTTACACTCCCACTAACGGTGTAGGAGGGCTCCTTTTTCTCTGCACCTTTTCTAGCATTTATTTTGCATTCCTCTGATGGTTAGCAATGTTGAGCATCTGTTCATGTGCCTGTTCACCACCTGTATGTCTTCTTTAAAGAAATATCTATTTAGGCCTTTTGCCCACAAAATGTATTATTCTTTAATAGCAATCTGAAATGTTTCTAACTTTATGTGTTTCAATTCTTGCTAGATTTTCAATACATCATACGTTGAGCCACCACCAGATGGATATGAGAATGTTAAGAATATTGTACCACCCTACAATGCCTTTTCACCCCCGGGTATGCCAGAGGTAAAATAAAAGACACTCAGTTCTTTAAGCCTTTACATAATAATACCTATGTAAAGGACTAAAACCAAGGAAATTAGGTGGATCATACATGTTAATTCATACTTTGGGATTCCATCCTCTACATAACCTCCCTAAAAACAATTTTTAGAAAAGAAAAAAAAAAACTTGGGAACCAGACCCTGATAAAGCACGTGCCGCTCTTTGAAATAACTAAGAAACTGCTGAACATGTCTCAATTCAGTAAGGGCAGTAGATAGTTTTCAAATGTTTTTCCTTTGTTCATTGTCTGACTTTGTTATAGATTTATAGATCTGAATTGATAAATCATACCACAGAAGTTCTTAATACTATGGTTGGAAATAACATAGTTACTTTTATTTATACTATTTCCCATAGCTCAGTGTACAGTAGTAATTTCTTCAAACATTTAAACACTGTTTAAATATCTTACATATTGTCTCTCTTTTTTTTTTTTTGTTAACTTTCAGGATATTGAAATATTTTAAAAGACTTCTCCAGAATTAGCATGGGTCTGTTTATTAAGCCCAAGACAAGAAAGATAACTTTTTATTATGATGCAGTATTTTGGAGCAAACTTCTACATTGGTTTTCTCTTTAGCAGTGTTTTGTATTTTTGTTGTTGTTGTTTGTTTTTATTTTTATTTCCAACAGGGTGAGCTTGTATATGTGAACTACGCTCGTACTGAAGACTTTTTCAAACTAGAAAGAGAGATGAACATCAACTGCACTGGAAAGATTGTTATTGCAAGATATGGGAAAATCTTCAGAGGAAACAAAGTACTTTGTTATTTGCTTTTCTAAGGGAAAAATAATATATAACCAGTAAATATAAATGATTTACATTATTTGCATTATGGTTTCCAAAAATTGCCATTGGTTGGTTGAGTCACTAAGTAGTGTCTGATTCTCATGACCCCATGGACTGGAGCCCGCCAGGCTCCTCTGTCCATGGGATTCTCCAGGCAAGAATATTGGAGTGGGTTGCCATTTCCTTCTCCAAAATTGCCATATATATATTTATAAATTTGTTATTTTCATGGTTGCACAGAAAAATCTTGGGGTTTTATTTGTTTGCTTGTCTTTTGTCATTGTTGTTGTTTTTGCGACCTTGCCTATCTGGAAAGGGAAATTATTCTTCTTAGTTTTATTACCAAAGCTATGTTTTTTTTTAATTAAAATGAAGAAATTTTATATAAACTAAAAAATGAAAATCCATATCTTACTCAATTCATTCATTGCCCAGACATAATCAATTATTAATAGATTTTTTCAGGCCTAATTTTGTGAAATATGGTTGTGTGTCTTCATATACTCATTTTACGTAATTTCTTCTTTTTTTAAACAAAGAGGGCATCAGATACTACATATTGTATAAATTTATTTTTTCACTCAATAATAACTCAGAGGTCAGCACATTGAGAGTTATATAATAAAATGGTTAAGAGTATAGGGTGCTAGATCTGTGTAATCTGGCTTCTTGTTTGGTGTGGGTTCCCTGTGCTCTAAATCTTTTACTGTGAGCAAGTTACTTAACCTCTCTGTGCCAGTGTTTCTTCTTACGTGAAATAGGAATGCTAATAATAACATTAATCTCTTAGAATCCACAATAGGATTTATCAACCTTACATTTGAAAGCACTTAGGATGATTACTGGTACTGAGTAATTTCTTGTAACTGCTTATTAAGTAAATACCTCATTTAAAAAAAATCTTTATTTGTTTGGCTGTACCGAGTTTTAGTTTCAACACATGGGATCTCTAGTCATAGCGCTTGAGCTCCCATGAGCAGCATGTGACATCTAGTTCCCTGACCAGGAATCACGCCTGGGCTCCCTGCATGGGAGCTCCAAGTCTTGGCCACTGGCCCATCAGGGAAGTTCCTCCCTCGTCATTTTAGATGGCTATGCAATATTTCACAGAATTATTAAGTAATTTATTTAGCCATTCCACTTGTCTTGTCTTAAATTTGTTACCATTACAAATATTTATATTGTGAGCGTCTTTGCCCATATGTACTTGAACATTTGTGTTAGGATTTTTGTAATATAGATTCACTCCTAGAAGCTGAATGGCTAAATCATAGTGTACAGTTGACTCAAATCTATGACAACATAGATTTGAACTATGTGAGTCCACGTGTACATGGATATTGTCAATAGTTAGTAATAGTATTATTACTATTACTACATGTCAAACCAGTTACTACATGGCTTCCCAGGTGGCCTGCTAATGCAGGAGACACACAGGCGGTTTGAGTTCAGTCTCTGGGTCAAGATCTCCTGGAGTAGAAAAGGGCAACCAACTCCAGTGTTCTTGCCTAAAACGTCCCATGGACAAAGGAGCTTGGCAGGCTACAGTCCATAGGGTCACAAAGAGTTGAACAGGAATGGGCAACTATGCACGCATTCACAGTTTCTACAAGGTCAGAGGTTGGTTGAAACCACAGATGCAGACAAATGGAGAATACAGAGGGCCAAGCCTAAGTTATTCTTGGATTAACCCTGCATTGTTCAAGGATCAGTTGTACATTATTTCAAAAGTTTGATGGGCATCTTCGATTTGTACTTCAAAAAAGTTGTATCAGATTTTGCTTTTTCTAATCTTTGTCTGAATACTGGGAAGTGTTTTAGCTGATTAATGGTTATCTATCTTTCATTATACTACTTCTGGTAATCAAGAACTCAGTATCTTACAGGATACATTTTCCTATTTGTGGTCAGTTTGAATTGTTAGAAACATTTACAAAACACTGGGCGATGTTTCAGACGCTAAGTTCTGGGTAGATTTTCTTCTCTTCTTTCTCTTCTCCTCTTCTGCCCCGGGCTCTCTGCAGTGAGATTGTGGAGTGTTAACCATTGGACCACCAGGGACTTCACCTGTGTAGAATTTTAAATTAACTTTCTTAGTTCCACAGATATTTACAGCATCTTAAGTCTGTGGTCTGGAGGAAGCACAAGCTGGAGTCCAGATTGCCGGGAGAAATATCAGTAACCTCAGATATACAGATGACACCACCCTTATGGCAGAAGGTGAAGAAGAACTAAAGAGCCTCTTGATGAAAGTGAAAGAGGAGAGTGAAAAAGTTGGCTTAAAGCTCAACATTCAAAAAACTCAGATCATGGCATCTGGTCCCATCACTTCAAGGCAAATTGATGGGGAAACAGTGGAAACTGGCTGACTTTATTTTTCTGGGCTCCAAAATCACTGCAGATGGTGATCGCAGCCATGAAATTAAAAGATGCTTACTCCTTGGAAGGAAAGTTATGACCAACCTAGACAGCATATTCAAAAGCAGAGGCATTACTTTGTCAACAAAGGTCCGTTTAGTCAAGGCTATGGTTTTTCCAGTGGTCATGTATGGATGTGAGAGTTGGACTATAAAGAAAGCTGAGCACTGAAGAACTGATACTTTTGAACTGTGATGTTGGAGAAGACTCTTGAGAGTCCCTTGGACTACAAGGAGATCCAACCAGTCCATCCTAAAGGAGATCAGTCCTGGGTGTTCATTTGAAGGACTGATGCTGAAGCTGAAACTCCAATACTTTGGCCACCTGATGTGAAGAACTGACACATTTGAAAAGACCCTGATGTTGGGAAAGATTGAGGGCAGGAGGAGAAGGGGACAACAGGATGAGATGGTTGGATGGCATCACTGACTCGATGGACATGGGTTTGGGTGGACTCTGGGAGTTGGTGATGGACAGGGAGGCCTGGTGTGCTGTGGTTCATGGGGTCACAGAGTTGAACATGACTGAGTGACTGAACTGAACTGAAGTCTGTGGTGTTTTAAACATTGGAGAGAGTGCATTCTCAGTCGCCTTGGTCATGTCCAACTCTTTGGGATCCAATGGGCTGTAGCCCAGCAAGCTTCTCTGTCCATGGGAGTTTCCAGGCAAGAATAGTGGAATGGGTTGCCATGCTCTCCTCCAGGGGATCTTCCTGACCCGGGAATAGAACCCACATCTCCTGCGTTGCCTCCATTGCAGGCAGATTCTTTATCACTGAGCCACCTGGGAAACCCCAAACACTAAGGGGTAGATAGTTAAAGTGAGTTAGACAAGGTCCTTGTTCTCAAAAGTAGTAGTAGAGAAGAAAGATGTTTAAAAGTTATTTGACAATGCTTTGCTCCATCTTGTAATATAATCATACACAAAATACAGAAGATGTATAGAAAAGAGAGACATTAATTTTGCAATTTTAGGAATAATAGGAATGCTTCACAGAAAAGGTAATAACTTGTTTGGAGTTATGTTGAATAAATGCGAGTTGTTAAGACTACCTAGGCAGAAATCGAATTCAAGCCAAAAAGAACTGATTGTTACCAGTGTGATAATAAAACAGTGTGTAAGTTTCCTTATGTTATTAAATTGGCTTTATCTTACATGGGTAAGTCAGTCTTTGGCCATTTCTACATTATGCATTGCTTACTGCCCCTAAAGGTTAAAAATGCCATGTCGGCAGGAGCCAAGGGAATCATCTTGTACTCAGATCCAGCTGACTACTCTGCCCCTGGGGTACAGCCATATCCCAAAGGGTGGAACCTTCCTGGAACTGCAGCCCAGAGAGGGAACGTGTTAAATCTCAATGGTGCTGGTGACCCCCTCACTCCAGGCTATCCAGCTAAAGGTAACAGATGAGCCTGTTATGGCCCACTCATTTTTGCAAAAATATTACTTGTCCTTACAGAAGGCATAAAAGTAAGCATCTATAGAATAACATTAAAATTGTGCACAATTGTATTTTGGATTGCCACTGCTAGGGCTTTAAAAGAATTTCGCTTTTATTATTCAGCTTTAAGTTTCCATGAGGTGAGGACATGAAGAGGGGGAGTAGACAGTTCAGTTCTCTTCTGCCTTTAGTAGAGGTTGAAGAACACATGTCCAGAGTAATACTATTCTTAGCAAACTAGAACTTAGGGTTTCTGAACTGTGTAATGATTTTATTTTTCTATAGATCACATATTTCTGTTTTTGAAGATACCAATGAGATTTAATATGTAAAGTGTGAAAGCTTTTCACATTTGTGTAACCGTATCCACAATCAAGATAATGAATGTGTCCATTACCCCCAAAAGTTTCATCTCATCTTTTTGTGATGCCTTCTTCTCAACCCGCCTCCCCCCCTGCCAATCCCTAGGAATCTTTGATTTGCCTTCTGTCTAGTATAATTGTTTTGAGCTTCAGCTATGTTGCTGTCTATGTCAATATTTCAGTTCTTTTTGTTGAGGTTGTTGAATGGTATTCCATTGAATACTCTACAGTTTGTTTATTCATTTACTTATTCTTGGGAATTTAGATTGCTTTGAGTTTTGGAGATATTACACATAAAACTGCTATGAACAGTTGTATGCAAGTCTTTATATGTATATATACTTTTGTCTCTCTTGAGTAAATGAATAGAAGTGGCATGGCTGGATAACATGATAGATGATTTTCAAATTGTTTTCCAAAGTGGTTGTACCATTTTGCATCCTAGCAGCAGTATGTGAGTGTTCCATTTGCTGCATCCTTGTCAGTGCTTAGTATGGTTGATCTTTTTAACTTTACATTCTAATTGATACCAAAGTCTCCAACTTAAAATTCTTTTTCAAAGTTTTGATAGCTATTCTGGTTCCTTCCCATGTGAATTTTAGAACTGGCTTATCAGTTTCTACCAAAAGTCTCCTGGGAGGTTGATTGAGGTTGAATTAAACCTATCGCTTAGTTTTGGGAAAACTGATGCTTTAAAATATGGGATCTTCTGACCCATAAACATGGAACAGCTCTCGATTTTCTCCGGTATCCGTAACTTTCTCTCAGTGCGTTTGTTGTTTCACTGTACAGACCATGTGTATCTTTTTTCACATTTATCCATAATAATTTCATAGTGTTATTCTTTTTTAAATTACATTTTAAATTTTGGTTTCCAGTTGGCCATTGTTAGTAAATGGAAATGTTGTTTCTAGAGGAAACATACTGATCTTGTGTATTGATCTTGTATTCTGTAAACTCATCAGGAATTCTGCTAGGTTTTTGTGGATTCCATCAGCTTTTGCATAGGTGATCATGTCATATGCACATAAAGAGAGTTTTATTTCTTTGTTTCTATTCTGGACGCCTTTTCTTTTTCTTTTCTTATTGTAGTATCTGGTACTTCTAGGACATTGCTGTAAAAAGTTGTTAGAGCAGATATCCTTGCCATGTTTCTGCCCCAAAGACTGTCCCTGTCTTTCTCTGTTAAGTAGGATCTTAGCTATAGGTTTGTTTTTGTTTTTCTTTTTTTTTCTTCAGATTTTATAGATTCTTTTTTTATCAGATTGAGGAAGTTCACTTCTATCTTAAAGTGCTATAAATTTTTATCTTAGCATATTTATCTCATTTGACTAGCAATATTTACGGAATTCTGTCAGATTCTGTTACTGTACCTAATGAAATGATCTTAAATTGTTCTTATCTATGTATTTTTTCAATTATACATATTGATTGGAGTTGGGGGGGGTGCACCCCATGCAGCTTATTGGATGTTCTCGAATAAGGTATTGAAGGCAGGCCATGGTTGTAAAGACAGAATCCTAGGCTAATCACTAGGCTACCAGGAAATTTCCCAGATTGATTTTTGAGTGTTAAACCGAAACAATGCTCTAATGGAGCATTCTTTTTTTTCTTTTATTTATGACTGTGCTGAGTCTTCATGGCTGTGTGCAGGCTTTCTCTAGTTGCAGCGAGCGGGGGCTACTCTCAAGTTGCAGCGCACAAGCTTCACATTGCATTGGTGTCTCGTCGCGGAGCGCAGACTCTAGGACGAGCTTTAGCAGTCGCGGCGTCCAGGCTCAGTAGCTGTGCACAGGGGTGTAGGTGCTTGTGTGACCTTCCTGGACCAGGGACCGAACCCATGCTGCTGCACTGGCAGGTGGATTCTTAATCACTCGACCATCAGGGAGTCCTCATTGTAGTGTTCTTCTATGCAATATTGGTGTATTACTGGATTTGTGCTAAAAATTTTGCTAAGAATCTGTCTTTAATGATAGCGGATATTGTCCTATCAATTTACTTTCTTGCAGTATCTCTGTCTCATTGTAGTAGCAGTAACATTGACTTCATGGAATGAATTAAAAATTACTTCGTCTTCTTCATTTTTTGCAAGTGTTTGTGTAGAATGGGTTTGACTTTTTTCTGTAAATGTGGCTCAGTGGTAAAGAATCCACCTGCCAATGCAGGAGACACCAGAGATGCAGGTTTGATTCCTGGGTCAGGAAGATCCCCTGGAGGAGGAGATGGCAACCCACTCCAGTATTCTTGCCTGGAGAATCCCATGGAGAGAGAAGCCTGGTGGGCTATGGTCCATGAGATCACAAAGAGTCAGATGTGACTGAGTGACTGAATGTGACATGGCATGATGTAGAATCCTTCAGTGAATTGATATGGGCCTGGTATTTTGTTGGTAGGAATGTTTTTAACTGCAAATTAAATTTCTTCAGTAGATATATGGCTGTTTAGGTTATGTATTTAATCTTGGGTGAGATTTGCTAGTTTAAAATTTTGTCCATTTCATCTAAGTTGTTAAATTTATGGGCACATAGTTGTTTGTAATGTTCTTCCTTTCTTTTCTCTCTTCCTTTCTTTTCTGCAGGTACTGGAGTGCTATTCTTTATTTCTGATATTGATGGCTTATATCTCTCTTTCTTGATTTGTCTTGCAAGGGATTTATCAATTTTGTTAATCCACTCAGGGAACCAGCTTTGGATTTCATTGATAATTTCTATCATTTGTCTGTTTTCTATTTCTAACATTTCTGTTCTGGTCTTTAGTAGGATATATCCTTTCTCCTGCTGATTTTTGCTTCATTTGCTCTTGTTTTTTCAGTTTCTTAAAGTGGAATCTGATGTAACTTGTTTGAAACCTCTCTTTTTTATAAGATAGTTGTTTTAATGCTCTAGAAAACTCTGTTTTGGGTGAAACCACAAGTCCCAATTAGAATTTAAGCCTGACAATACTTTTCATCTTCCTTTAAGGAGTATATGTTATTATTTGAGTAAGAAATTTTCACTTATTCCCAACACCACTTAGTTCAGTCCCTCAGTCATGTTTGACTCTTCGTGGCCCCATGGACTGTAGCACACCAGGTTTCCCTGTTCATCATCAATCCCAGAGTTTACTCAAACTCATATCTGTCAAGTCGGTGATGCCATCCAACCATCTCATCCTCTGTCGCCCCCTTCTCCTTCTGCCTTCAGTCTTTCCCAGCATTAGGGTCTTTTTCAGTGAGTCAGTTCTTCGCATCAGGTGGCCAAAGTANATCTGGGACACATTTTCCAGGCATTTAGTTAACTGAAGCTTCTCTGAAAAGGATTCAGGATATATAAGGAAATAAAATATTCTTGGAAAATTCAAGAGAAATGTCAAAGCAAATATGAGAATCTGTAATCCCTGTAATTGATTTTACATTAAAATATAAATGATTTAATTTTTTACTGTCAAATTAAATAGACCCCATATTGGATAAAACAGTCACTTTGGGGGAACTTTAAATTTTGGATATAATATCAAACATATAGCAAATCTGCATTAGTAATAGCAAGAATTCCTTTATACCCTTTGCTCAGATTCCTCAACTGTTCTCCTCTTATGCAATTGGTTTCTGCAGAGTATGCCTTCAGACTTGATGTTGAAGATGGAGTGGGAATTCCCCGAATCCCTGTGCATCCCATTGGATATAATGATGCAGAAATACTATTACGGTATAGTTTTCTAGTTGCATTTGAGAATAAGATATATTACACTAAACATCTATTTTCTCTTCTAAAACCTATGTTAAAAGTGAAGTCTTGTATCAGAATTGACCCTTGAAGTAGGAAATATAGAACACATCTCTTTTTTCCATAAGGAAAGAGCAGTTTAATAACTAGGACATAATAAGAAAACACTCCTGCATTTGCTACCAGTGAAAGTCTCAAAAGGAAAAACTATGTCCAAAGATAAAAATATTGACTTGAGATTTTTCAAGCAGTGAGGTTATCTTAGGTGTTTGTATTTGACCTGCATTTCCAAAATGTGGTGATGCCCACAACTCACTGGATGTGTAAACTTACAGCAGTTATTCAGTCTTTCTCTGATTCAGGTTCCTTCTCTGAAATGAAGACGGAACTAGTTTCTGCCTGATAGAGTTATTATGACTAGATGAAATCATTCTATAAATATCATATGAAAAACATTCCGTCAGTGTTTGCCATTATTGTATTGTATAACTTGTTGGTTCCTTTTCAGATTTCCTAATGTCTGTTTTTGTTTAATGTATGTACAAATGCAATTCAATAATTGCTTTTTGAGTGGCTACTGTGTAACCAGCAGCGTTTCTAGAAATTAATTTCTTCTTCTCCTTAATTTCATATGTTTAGTTAGGATTTCTTGAAACTAATGCTTCCCTATGTAAATAATTAAAGTAAGAAGCAGAAAGGCTGATGCACTGGTGTTTCCCATTTCCCCTCACTATTTTGGTGGTTTTCTCCTTAGCTCTTTTTTTTGGTGAGATGCTGTGCTGTGAAGCACATGGGATCTTAGTTCGTCTACCAGGGCTTGAACTCAGGCCCAGGCAGTGAAAGGCCGACTCCTAACCTCTGGACCGCCACAGAATTTTGCTCCTTAGCTCTTAACCACTAGCATATAAACATTTTACTCATGTATCTCAGTTATGGTTCTCTCAATAGGATGTAAGCTCTGCAAGGGAAGGGAATTCTACAGTTCCCAGCACTTAGTAAATCCTCAATATATATTTGTTAAATGTCTGAATAAAACCTCGTCAGCTTACTTTGTGATTTCTTTTAGACATTGTGGTGCTCAGCCTTTTTTTCTGTCATTTTCGTTTTCTCTTGACAGCTATTTGGGAGGCATTGCTTCACCAGATGAGAGCTGGAAGGGAGGTCTTAACGTGAGTTACAACATTGGGCCTGGCTTTCTAGGACATGATTCTTTCAGGTAATTTTATGTTACTTTAGTATCCTGGAAAAAGTTTACATATTTAATGGGAAAATGTCAAGATAAGTGTTCTGCCAGTTTTGTTTTGCTTATCTTATTTTTCTCATTTTTCATAGTGAATAATTATCATTTAGAAGTACTTAGACCTTTCCTGGTGGCTCAGATCGCAATGCAGGAGACCTGGTTTCAATCCCTGGGTTGGGAAGATCCGCTGGAGAAGGAAATGCAACCCACTCCAGTATTCTTGTCTGGAAAACCCCATGGACACAGGAGGCTGGCAGCCTCCAGTCCAAGAGGCCTGCAAAGAGTTGGACACGACTGGGTGACTAAGCAGAACTGCTTATGGGATGATGTATTAAATTCTTCTTTCAACAGGGCTGTCACAACATTTGTTTTTTACATCTCAAAAATTGCTACATTTGAGTTACAGGTTTAACATTTTAACTCTCCTCTTTTTTTTCCCTAAAGTATTTGTTTGGCTGTGCCAGGTCTTGGCTGCAGCAGGTGGTACCGTCCCTGACCAGGGGCTGAGCTGGGGCTCCCTGCACTGGGAGATGGAGTCTCAGCCACTCGACCGCCAGGGGAGTCCCTTCACTTCCCTCTTTACCTGATGTTTCTAAATAGCTCTTCAGATAGTTGTCAAAATGCTCTGTATGTGGCGCTCTCTTTTCTTAAGGGAAGGAGTAAAAGAGAGAAGGGTTCCAGCCTTTTACTGATCACTTCCTGTGTGTGGGGGTTAAATAAGTTAAAATGGGTATGCACGTGACTGTTATAAGGCTCTATACACTTTTTTTAGTTATTACTGTTATCAACCGTTGTAGCACTTTTGAGGAGGCATGATCGCAGAATATGTTTCATTGAGCTTAATTTTACAGAAAGAATGAATTTTCCAGTGGATCAAATTAGGCAGGAAATGCCAGTAGCAAAGAACAGCTTGTTCAGAGGTGTAGAACATCATGGCATGATCAGAACTTTAAGTACTTTGATTTGCTTAAAAGGTAGAGAGGAAGGGAAACTTAAAAACTGATGAATCGGAGAAAATATAGCTGTATTAAGACAAAATTATTAAGTCAGTCTTGTTCACTAGAAATTTACTTAACAATATGAAATTGTATTCTGAGAATGTCTTTTAATTTCTGTTAAGAGTTTTATTTCAGAACTTTTAAATTATTGCTGCAGATAAGTGTTCAGCCATTTCCAACTCTTTGCAACCCCGTAGACTGTACCCCACCAGGCTCCTCTGTGCTTGGGATTTTTCCAGGCAAGAATACTGGAATGAGCTGCCATTTCCTTCTCCAGGGGATCTTCCCAACACAGGTTTTGAACCTGGGTCTCTTGTACCTGCTACATTGGCAGACAGATTCTTTACAACTAGCACCACATGGGAAGCCCTTTAAAGTATTAGGAGTTCAGTTTTATTTTATAGAAATTTGAGAAATATTTTTATGTACGTGCTTATTTATCTCTGTCTCTCAATTAGAATGGGCATCTTTTAATATAAGAGACTTTATTATCTAATTATTAATATGCTCTGGATGTATACAATGAAAGATATAATAAGCCTTTCTGATTTATAAACAGAAACATACAAACACAGATAAACCAATAAACACATAGCTATGGTCACAGTTCAAGAATAAGCTCAGAAACAGAACATCTCCCTGGTGAAGATATCAAAAAGCTTTCAACCATGAGCAAAAAACCCTATTTGATTTGAACTCAAAATGGGCAAATACACAATTTTTTTAAAAATAATTGCTAAAAACAAGACTCTGTGTCATTTCTCATCTAAGAGATCTTAATAATAATGTAAGATCAATTGATCAATTTAAGATTACCAAATGATAAGACCTGAAACCAAATTCTTTACCATTGCCACCACAAATGGGGTGTAACTTATCTGCTGTAAGCAAACTAGAAACATAAACAGAACACAGAATCAGTAGAAAAAAATAAGTTGGAGATACAGAGATTCAGCCAAGTTAAAATTTTATTGCTGCTTGGAATTTACATCTGAGAGTCAAGGGAGATATGTCTGTGTTTAAGCTGCACATTCTTGACTCTCCAAGAAGAATCCATTGTACATCTCAGTGGGACTTCCAGAAATGATAAAGGATGATTTTTTTTAAGTAAAAGCATAATTCTCATACAAATATAAAATGAATTTGTGTAAAAATTTTATTTGATGCGATAAGGGAACCCAAAAGGAGTTAAAAGCTGGTTCAAAGGAGAATTCAAAGATGATACCAAAAATGAGCTCCTTAGGAATGCTGAAGTGAGTATGCTTAATAGCTTAAAAACTGATTTCTTCCATATTAGGAAGGGACAGTTTATGAGAGAAATTGTGCATTTCAGTGGACATGAATTATTTGTATTATCAGATTTCCACAAGTTAAATTCTGTTTCTGTAGAGTTTTAAAATAGTCTTATCAAACAAAGACTTTGATAGGCAGAAGTAACTCTGATATGTGAGCTGAGTTTGTTCTCAGATTTCTCCTGTATTTCCCTATATAGGAGGATATTCATTCCTTTCACAATTATTTCTTGAGCATTTACTGTACCCTGGCACCACCTGGGCACTGGGGATTCAGCAGTGTACAAAACAGGCAAAAACCCCTGCCCTCTGGAGTCTATTCTTGAGTTCAGTTTATTTGGAACGTAATGAGTTTGAAGTGATAGCAGGACATTATGGGCCATTGTGTATCATTTAATCTTATAGGCAACATCCCTTTAGTGATTAACTTGTAATAAAATAGGACATGTTCTTCCCTGTTACAAGGCAGGGAAGTGAAAAGGCCCATCTGAGTCAAATTGCCCCCAGGGCAGGTCTTGTGGCGGTCCCAGATTAGAGGCTTAGATTTTGGAAGGTCCAGATACAGCCCAGGGCTTCCTTCAGACACATACACAGGGTGTTTGCCTGCACCCCTGGCTCATGACACTGTCACTCAGATTCCTGGCCAGCCAAACTCCCTCAGCGTAGAGTCCCAGATTGAAGATCAAATTCCTCTGGAAGTCATTTATGTCGATGGTGAAGTAGGAGATGCCCCAAAGTCAATCTCCCAAGTTGTCCAGAATTTCAGGAACTTCTTTTGCAGAGCCCACAACGTTCTCGCTGACCCTCTGGAAACCATAGCAGTGCCTCTCTAGGTAATTCAGGTACTTCTGGAGTCCATGATACTAAAAACTAGGAAAATATACAGAGTAACGATGTAGATGAGCTTCTTTGAGAATCTGAGCAGATAGCTAGTTTATTTTCCGTTTAGATTAAAATAGCTTGTCTTCTCTCATTCCTCATTGTTACAGCATTCTTTTATTTTCTTCATTTAATTACATATGTCAGTGAAGTTGGGTTTCTTACTAATATATCTTAGGCTTATATATTTAAAAACATGCTAAAGAATACTTTTGCTTTTTGCTATTAAATTTTATCATTCAGAAGCAAAAATAAAATCTTTTACCAAATGTCTTAAAATGCAGAACAACATCCATTGATTAGTTTTCCCCTAAAGGCACTTTTTAGTTGAATACTATTCATGAATTATATACACATTCAAAATCACAATGTACTTTTAGGGGAAGAAACACCAGAATCTACACTTTACAATATACGGGATTTGACTTGTTAGTTCTTGCATTCAAAAATGAACTAAAAAGTAGAAAGTTCTGGGGTTCCCTATGCACTTCCTATGAGCCTACCATAGATTAAAAATTTTTGTTCCCCTCTGATAAAGAGGCTCAACATTTTCCCATGTCAGTTTGGCTTTATAAAATGTGAATGGCATTTTTTAATGATTTTTTGATCTTGATTGTACTTTCCTGTGAATTCTGACTTGGTCAATTACAATTGATGAATGAATATTTAAAAGGCAGGCCCAGATCAGAATCAACAGTGATGGCCTGGAAGAGTTTCATCATATAGCTGTCTTGTACATTTTAGCAGGTATTTCTCACACTGCCATTTAACAACAGAGTTTATCATGTTCCTTGTAGGCAGCACTCAGTCAGGTCTTTAACAGTATCCTGATGGACCATTTTGATAATCTTGGAAAATGTTAACTGAATATCAGGAATTGATATTACTATAAAACAAATTAAAAATAAGCTTCTCTGGAGACTGCCCTGGTGGTCAGTGGCTAAGACTCTGAGCTCACAATGCAGGGGGCCCGGGTCCAGCCCCTGATCAGATCTCACATGCCACCACTAAGATCTGGTGCAGCCAAATTAATAAATATATATTAAAAAAATTAGTCTTCTTTGACCTTTAATAGATAATAAATAGGCTCTCTCCCTTATTTTTGTAATTGTGTAGCATGTGTTTAAAAATTTTAGAATTAACGCACAAGCTAATATTAGAATATTTTGAATAATAATAGAATAGAATAATGGAATATTTTGAACTTTAAATATTGACAATAGAGCTATGAGGGAGGAAAAATATAAAATATTGATGTTTGGTTTTTAAAATTTGAATTTAATGTGGGTGCTTCAGTACACAGGAGTAAGATGTGATGATATCTGCAACATACTTGCAAATGGCTCAACAATATTACAATTATTTGAGTTTATGTGGTGGGTATTTGGGAAGTTATTGCCCTGTTATACAATTTTCTGTACTTTTGAGATTTCTTATAATAAAACAGTGAAAGAAAGCTGTTAGACATAATGCTCCATGTGAAGTAATTTGTCCCCTTTGAAATTCTAGGAAGGTTAGAATGCATGTTTATAATATCAATAAAATCACAAGGATTTACAATGTAATCGGAACTATCAGAGGATCTGTGGAACCTGGTAAGTTGATGGATTATTGTAGATGTTTGGCTTTACAAGATTGCAAGAAGGTTTTAGTCCACAGCTAATTTTTTCAGGCTGATGTGAAATGACTAACTTTGGAAGAAAAAAAGTATAATCCTAAAAGAAGACTCTACCTTATGGTGTTCATTTCTATGGGGAAACTCAGGAGGAAGTTTTTTTTTTCCCTCGGATTAAAACATAACATTTTTAATATGCTTTATTTTTAGTGCAGTTTTACGTTCAGAATAAAATTGAGTACTAGGTACAGAGAGTTCACATATAACTCCTGTTCCCCTCAAACCCCACGTGTAACATCTTGTACCGTGGTGGTACATTTATTAGAGGAAGTTTAATTTAAAAACATAAATTGTACTCTTTATAAATGTATTCAAAGTTGAAGTTCTTTTGAACACATTTTTTCCCAGACAGGTATGTTATTCTGGGAGGTCATCGGGACTCCTGGGTATTTGGAGGCATTGACCCAACCAGTGGGGCTGCTACTTTGCAAGAAGTTGCCCAGAGTTTTGGGAAACTGCTAAGTAGTGGTAAGTAGTGTTTCTGTGGTAGGTGGTATCAAAAAGTAACCAACTGAAATTTCCTTTGCTTTTAGGCAGATAAACCTAGTTATGTGTGTTAACAATGATTACAGGCTGGAGACCGAGAAGAACAATCATTTTTGCCAGCTGGGATGCAGAAGAATTTGGACTTCTGGGTTCTACAGAATGGGCTGAGGTAAATAAGACAGAAAAGTTCTTGTTTTCTTGGTCAACAGGCAACAAATATTTATATCTCACGACTGAAGCAACTTAGCATGCATGCATGCATCGGAGAAGGAAATGGCAACCCACTCCAGTATTCTTGCCTGGAGAATCCCAAGGACGGGGGAGCCTGGTGGGCTGATGTCTGTGGGGTCACATAGAGTCTGACACGACTGAAGCGACTTAGCAGCAGCAGCAGGATAGTCACAAATAGGTTCCATGGTTTTAATTTTGATAAATGCTCGAGAGAATTTAGGAATTAGAGTCTGTTCTTACTTTCATAGCAGATTGGCAAAACAGAATATCCTCTTAATTACTGGACTGTGAACAAATTTATTATTGTCAAAATATTTTACTTTGTATTTGTTTTGTGAAAAATCTATATGTTCAGAAAGCAGTTAAAACTAGCAGGCTGTTTCTGACAAATGAATTAACTTATCTAAAATCTGATATAGATCCTTGGAGTTAATTTTCAAGTTTTTGAAGTTTCTTTGGATTTCTTCTATCTAAGAAAACATAAGGTGTTCTATTGTGACTATACTCTATTGTAATTTCACATTTATAGATTTGATACATAATTGTAAACATGGGTTTATTTTACCACTCATGAAAATGCCTGATTGTGGAGTATAAGATGATAATTTTGTAAATTGACTTATTTTTTGCGTAAGCTATGATTAACTCTGTCACTGACTCTCGATGCTTTAAGTGTCTCTTCTAGGCTCCCCTCTGTCATCCTTTTCCCTTAGCCTCCTTCTCCAGTATCTCTAAGTTCTTAAATGTGCAAGGTAAGCTCAGAAGGCAAGTGTGCCGAAAACAGTTTCCCTCACCCATCCTCTACTTTATGAGTCCAGATTTTATAGAACTGCTTTAAAGCATGTCATGTATTTCTTGCCATCTGTTGTTTCCTTCTGACTCCTTTCCTCTTACTTTACTTTAAAATAATATGAATTAAATAAATACGGAAGTAAAATCACACACACAGTTACTTGCAGTTCCATTTATATTGTGAAGTTTTATTATTACGCTGGTATTGTGAATATATATTTTGGAATAGGCTTAACTTTAGATGAATAATTTCTTAGGAATACATGCATGTATAAATATATATATAATATGCCTTGCATTAATTTAAATACATGTTTGTTAAAAGACAGTTTCAATACTGTTTCTAGTTTTCTGCCAGATTCTTGATCACATTCAACAGCATCCTTACCTTCTTAAATATAGTTTAGGAATCTTCTTTATTTCTGTGAGTCTGTTATAATGGGGACTCTGACTCTATTTATCTATAGCAGAGTCAGCTGTCACCTGACCTATGTGGGCAGCTACAGAGACAAGAATCCTCATTTGTGTAATAACCACTCACAGCTTTAAATGTTTTTATTGTGACGTGTTCTTATATGGTAGCAAGCTAGAGAGAGAAGTAGAGAGATCTCTCAGCATACTCTCGTATGTGTGTGACACTAGTCTTTCTCTGCTTTATCTTACAGGGTGAGTGTGTGAAAGAGAGAGAAAGAATATCTTGTTAGTCCTGTTGTCCATCCTCTCTCCCTCTAGTTTTTTCTCTATTCTCTGCTTTTTTTGTTCTTTTTCTTCATCATACATTAAAAAAAGTTTTAGATAAATGGAAATTTTCAACTACTCACTGTAAATGATAAATTTACATGGGTATATCCAGTTTCAATGGATCTCACACTTCTATGTATGTAATGATTCCTAGAGATTCAGTTCAGTTCAGTCGCTCAGTCATGTCCGACTCTTTGTGACCCCATGGACTGCAGCACGCCAGGCCTCCCTGTCCATCACCAACTCACAGAGCTTACTCAAACTCATGTCCGTCGAGTCAGTGATGCCATCCAACCGTCTCATCCTCTGTCGTCCCCTTCTCCTCCTGCCCTCAACCTTTCCCAGCATCAGGGTCTTTTCCAGTGAGTCAGTTCTTCACATCATTTGGCCAAAGTATTGGAGCTTCAACTTCAGCATCAGCCCTTCCAATGAATATTCAGGACTGATTTCCTTTAGGATTGACTGGTTGGATCTCCTTGAAGTCCAAGGGACTCTCCAGAGTCTTCTCCAACACCACAGTTCAAAAGCATCAATTCTTCAGCACTCAGCTTTCTTTATAGTCCAACTCTCACATCCATACATAACCACTGGAAAAACCATAGCTTTGACTAGATGGACCTTTGTTGGCAAAGTAATGTCTCTGCTTTTTAATATGCTGTCTAAGTTGGTCATAACTTTCCTTCCAAGAAGTAAGCATCTTTTAATTTCATGGCTGCCGTCGCCATCTGCAGTGATTTTGGAGCCCAGAAAAATAAAGTCAGCCACTGTTTCCACTGTTTCCCCATCTATTTGCCATGAAGTGATGGGACCAAATGCCATGATCTTAGTTTTCTGAATGTTGAGCTTTAAGCCAACTTTTTCACTCTCCTCTTTCACTTTCATCAAGAGGCTTTTTAGTTCCTCTTCACTTTCTGCCATAAGGGTGGTGTCATCTGCATATCTGAGGTTATTGATATTTCTCCCGGCAATCTTGATTCCAGCTTGTGCTTCCTCCAGCCCAGCGTTTCTCATGATGTACTCTGCATATAAGTTAAATAAGCAGGGTGACAATATACAGCCTTGACGTACTCCTTTTCCTATTTGGAACCAGTCTGTTGTTCCATGTCCAGTTCTAACTGTTGCTTCCTGACCTGCATACAGGTTTCTCAAGAGGCAGGTCAGGTGGTCTGGTATTCCCATCTCTTTCAGAATTTTCCACAGTTTATTGTGATCCACACAGTCAAAGGCTTTGGCATAGTCAATAAAGCAGAACTAGATGTTTTTCTGGATCTCCCTTGCTTTTTTGATGATCCAGCATATGTTGACAATCTGATCTCTGGTTCCTCTGCCTTTTCTAAAACCAGCTTAAACATCTGGAAGTTCATGGTTCACGTATAGTTGAAGCCTGGCTTGGAGAATTTTAAGCATTACTAGCGTGTGAGATGAGTGCAGTTGTGCAGTAATTTGAGCATTCTTTGGCATTGCCTTTTTTTTATTCACTCACAGGGCATCAAGGAACTGTACTCTGAAAACGCTTTTGCCTCAGGGCTCACTGCTATTGCTATAAACAGTAACTAAGCATCATAATGTTTTTCTTGTTTTAAATGTATTAGTGTTGTCAACCAACCAGTTAACAACATTTTCTCAGAAATTATTGTCAAATTCATGGGTTTTATAAAGGTATTTGTAGACTACTTTTATACTCAATTAATCTATTTTGTTTATATTCCCACAAAATACTGTGAGTTAAGTAACAGCTTTGCTTCAACTGTAGGAGAATGTAAAAACACTCCAGGAGCGAAGCATTGCTTATATCAACTCAGATTCATCTATAGAAGGTAAATTTTATTTTTGATTGTTATTAAATAGTATACTATCATTTAAGTCTGTACATTCTGTTTGTAAACCAAGTTTATTCTCTTCCTATGAGATACCTCAATACCTTCATTTTCCATTTTACTAGAGAGAAAATCATTATAATTCAATGAATCAATGTGATTCATAACTAAACTATTAGTCCTAATTTCTTTGTATTTACTGTTTGCCTATTTTGAATTACTAATATTCAGCAGGCTTGATGGGAGGTGGAGAATGGATACATGTATATGTATGGTTGACAATCTTTGCTGTCCACCTGAAACTATCACAACATTGTTACTTGGCTTTAAAATGTTTTTTTTTTTAAGAATATTTTTATTAAAAACACTATGTGTTATGAAGATATGAGATATTTTAGAGGGTGGTTAAACTTTGTATTGAATAACATTGAATTACCTGAGGTGCCAAAAAAAGGTAAAGAAAATCTCTAGTATGTCATTACATTCTTCATGTGGAGATAGTAAAAGGATTGGACTAAAATATTTCAGAAGAAATATGTAACAGAATATTTTATACAGAAATACTTCCTGAATGTAATGGAGCAGATTTGAAGGGAACAAAATCTGCACACTTCCTTTTGACCCTAATATGTGACATTTGTATCTCTAGGCTTTTGTTATTATTTCTAGGTAGATGTCAGGGCACACTTCCCAGCTGCTGACACGCTCTGGTCTGACGTCTGCTGTATACTCTTGTGTTAATGAATGACGGAATTCCCAGGTGGTCCAGTGGATCAGATGCCATGCTTACACTGCTGTGGGCCTGGGTTTGATCCCTGGCTGGGGAACTATAAATGAAGAGAATGAATACTGCGCCTTACCCCTTCCTTTGCCAAAGTCCCCCTAAGTGATGCTGCCCTAGTGAAGAACGACTCTGACTGTTACTGTGGGAGCTGCCGCCTTAGCAAACTCCAGTATCCTGAGTGTGTCCTGCAGCCTCTCTGGCCTCTGAAGAATTATTTCCATCCTATTTCTGTTGTTGTCTTAAATAATAGTCTTTATTTTTACACAAAGCACTGCAAAACGCAGCAGTTCCCCAAGGGTGACTTGGAGCTGGAAATTCCTTCCTGAGTGTGAAAGGGTTAGTCGTTCAGTCATTTCCGACTCTTTGCAACCCTAGGACTGTAGCCCATGAGTCTCCTCGCCGTGAAATTCTCCAGGCAAGAACACTGGAGTGGGTGGCCGTTTCCTTCTCCACCCTATTTTTAATTCTCTGGGAATGATGCGTTCAATTTGAAGTTTATAGTTATCTTGTTTGCATTTGGAAAATAAAGTTAGAATTAAATATAGATTGGAGTTTCATTTGGAAGTATTAAAATACTCTGTGTCTTGTGTATTTTTCAGGCAATTACACTCTCAGAGTTGACTGTACACCCCTTCTTCATCAATTGGTGTATAAACTGACAAAAGAGGTATGTAGTAGATCTGTCTTAGTTTTTTCTGAGGAGTAGTAGATAGCTCTTCTTTTCTAAATTGGTGATGCTTAGAGTGGAGAAAGGAACGGAGAGTACACATTTGTAAGTGTATGTTTAGTGAGGATAATAAAAAACGTTTATGTGTGTATCCCTCCATAAGTTCTTACAGTCCCCAGCTAGAAACCTGAGGTCATGTAGCTTATTGAATTAACCCATTGAATTCCAACATTGTTTAAACATAGACTTTCTGAAATTAACTGCTCCTTTTCACCCCACCTGCCCTGCAAAACCAGGACTCGTTGACAGTTTTAAGCTCAGCTGATTAATGTCTGTCTGCTGTTCTAAGGCCTCATTGTAGATTGTCTTGGACAGTCTCCTAAGTGCATGGCCAGATTATTAACAAGTACAAATTATAAATGAATAGGAAGTTGGGCTGGGATATTTTTTCCCTGCCATTTGCAAAAGCATATTTTTCTATAAAGAGTATAATACACAAATGTTCATGTAAATAAAGGTAGAAGTTGATATGAAATAACATGTGGTTTAATATTGGCAAAAATTTAATTGTTCTGCCTCTTTTCTTAATATTTGACTTATCTTTTCAGATCTCCAGCCCTGATGATGGTTTTGAGAGTAAATCTCTTTATGAAAGCTGGTTAGCAAAGGACCCTTCGTCAAAAAGTAAAACTTTGCCTAGGTAAATCACTTGTATGCACGTTTTCTACCACAGGATCAGTTGAGTTCCCCTTTGCTCCTTGTTCCTCCAGACATGCAATTCTCAGATGTCCCAGGTTGCCAAATTTGAGAATATTTTTGCAAATATTTAGTAAAAGATTATTAGGTATTACTTTGCATTCTTGTATAAAATTACATTCAGATATGTGTTAAATAAGGGCTTCCCAGGTAGTGCACCCTGCCAATGCAGGAGACGCAAGAGATGCAAGTTTGATCTCTGAGTTGGGAAGATCTGCTGAAGGAGGAAATAGCAACCCACTCCAGTATTCTTGCTTGGAAAATTCCATGTACAGAGGAGTCTGGTGAGCTACAGTTCATGGGGTCACAAAGAGTCAGATATGGCTGAGCACATGAGTTATATGTATTAAGTATATTAATAAATATAACTTCAAATGGTAATGATGAAGTAAAAATAACGATGGATTATTTCTTTCTAAATTTATTAGGGTGCATTATCAGCAACCACCAAGTTATGTCTTTGCCTGTAGTTAGTTTAGAATTTATGTAAGGATTAATTTTTATTTCTCATTTATACAACAGCTGTCTTGCACTTATTTTGTATTTATATTTATTTTCAACTGCTATGCTATTTCTAAAACTAGCTGTTGGTAACAATTTATAGCAAGTAAGGCTTGTGAGAGTGTAAATGTATCTTCATTATGTTTTATTTGCTTATTCAAAAAAAAGAAAAACACTAGAGTAAAAGATTAAAAAACATCCCAAAGTCTCAGTCTCAAAAGCACGTCTAATAGTTTGGAAGTATATAGTTAGTTTCTTAATGTATACATAATTTTATATTCTGTTTTACTGACATCGTTTTGAGTGAAAATCTTCTATGTCATTACATTATATATAAATATATATGTATGTATATAGTGGCTTCTTAACTGTATGCAAAGTAATATAATTAGATTTATTTCTGAAATATACTAGGGCACATTTAGAGTCTTCATGATCTTAAATGTAGACTTCCTCATGGCAGTTCTCATACTAGACCACAGTTCTCTGAGGGGAGAGATCATATCTTATTATTTGTTTTTCCCTCAAAAAATGCCATAGTGCTGAGGCCATAGTTGCCAGGTTGCCAAATTTGGTGTCACTGCCCAACTCTGCTTGTAGTCAGTGCAGATTTATAGGTTTATCATAGGTATAAATATGTGTGATAGGAAGGTTCCTTTTTTTTCACATTTTAATCAACTTTATTTTCTAAAATTTAAAAATAAATTTTAAAATAAATTAAAGTTTATTATTATTTTAAATAATAAAATAAAAGATTTTCATTGTTTAAAATCAGCATATCGTCGGGGTGTTGTTGTTGTTGTTTAGTTGCTCAGTCTTGTCCGACTCTTTGCGGCCCCATGGACTGTAGCCCGCCAGGCGCCTCTGTCCATGAGATTTTCCAGGCAAGAGTACCTGTTGTGGGTTGTCATTTCCTTCTCTAGGGGAATCTTCATAGGAAAGTTTTCTTGAGGGTGGTATACCTTTTTTAATTTTTATAAATGTTCCATACACTTCCTTGCAGTTGTTGGGACAGGATTCATTGTCCCATCTATTTATATTATCTATTTTTGCATTTACTTCTTTGTGTGTGTGTGTGTGTTATATTATACGTTTAGAATCAGCAAGCTGGGATCTGGAAGTGATTTTGAAGCCTATTTTCAGAGACTTGGGATTGCTTCAGGAAGAGTCCGTTACACTAAGAATAGGGTAAGCCATTTTCTTTATTTTGAATACAAAGCACTTAATCCACATTATTTTGTTGGGAATTCTGTCATTTAATGGTTGGGCACCGGGCATGAATGGACATGTGCCCTGGGAAGGATGCCAGGGATAGAGCTAGACTGCAAGTCCCACTGTAGATAGGCTGAGAATTAATTTGTGTTATTTTGTGAATGTTCACTGCCAGGGTTATTCAGTGAAATGGTAGTTGACAGAGTAATGCCAGGTGCTTAGCTGGCTATCACTGCCAAGAGGTTTGCATCCTTCTTCTGATGCAGGTGTTGGAAAATTTAATTCTTTTCTGATCTGCCCTATTGCTTCTCCAGCACATTAGTGGTGTGCAAGTATATGGGTTATGCAAACCTATATGCAAACCTATGCAAACCTATACCCATATTTTTGTCTATGTTATAAGTTATGTCATAAATCATACTGAAGATTACATCAGTACCCTTAGGTTTGTCAAAGATTTTGCTAATTTTCTGATAAGTGCAATACGCCAACATCATGCTTGTCTAGAATACATATCCCTTGCAAATTTGACTATCTAGAATACAACTAAGAACAGGGAAGTAAGCAAAAACAGCTGTAGAATAACCCAAAATAAGTGTGTAAATCAGTATACTGATACTCATTACACTTCATTCATAAGAGATGTACTTTTGGGAATTCCCATCAGTCAGACTCCATGCTTCCCCTACAGAGGGCACAGGTTAGATCCTTGGTTGGGGAATAAAGATCCCACATGCCATGTGGCACAGCCAAAAATTTTCTTTTAAAAATTAAAAGACAAAAACAAAAACTCACCACAGTGTACACTTAATGCTGATGAATGTTATTAAATTACACTTCATTAAAGCTGCCTTTAAAAAAAAAGAGATGCACTTTACCCTCTTTCAAAGCCTGTTCACTTTTATACTCTGTCTCATTCTGAACAAAGTGATCTAGTTTCTAAGGCAACACAGATTAAGAGTGGAATGTTAGATAAATGGAAGGAGATAGATACAGGGATTCCTTTCAGTGATATTAAAAGCAATAAGAATGATAAGTTTATATCAAAGAAGTAGATAGGTAAACTAACGTTAAGAAAAGCAGATTTAAGTACTCAAAAATATTTACATGGAGTTCCACCCTGTAACAATTTATGTTTATAATGATAATCCTTAATTTTGTAACAAAGATTAGGTGGCATGTGGATATACACTGCTAGGGAATGCAGGCAAAGGGCTTAAATGTACAGCTGACCTTTAAACAACTCAGGAGGCAGGGGTGTTGACCCCTGGAGAAGTTGAAAATCATGTGTAACTTTACATTTGGGATCCTATAGTTCTGTAGTACGTATTTATTGAAAAAAAAAAAAAAATCTGTGTATAAGTGAACCCCTGCAGTTCAAACCCATGTTGTTAAAGCATCAACTGAATTACCCTCCAGTTATTATCAATACTGAGCTACACAGAACCTTTCACTGTCAATCAGTTGATAGATAATTTCTAACTGTGCTGATATTCAATTTGAGTATGTACTCCTTAACTGTCATCAAAACAATGAGGAAAATTTTCAAGATGCAGTATTTTGAATGAAGATTATATGACTTATTAAGTGAATAATGGTAAAATTTTAAGTTGGTGAACATTTCATGGTGAAGTCTTAGTGAATTAGTCTTAACTTTTCCCTTCATTGTGATGAAACTCAGGGTACCATATGTTTTTTAATGGAAGCATTTTATAATTCCATAAAATATTATAACTTGAATATTTAGTATTTTTCTATACTTGATCCCTCCCCACCTTTTTTTTTTCCAGAAAACAGATACTTACAGCAGCTATCCAGTATACCATACAATTTATGAGACATTTGAATTGGTAGAGAAGTTTTATGACCCCACGTTTAAAAAACAGCTTGCTGTGGCTCAGCTACGAGGAGCATTGGTTTATGAGCTTGCAGACTCTAAAGTCATTCCTTTCAATATTCAAGACTATGCAAAAACTTTGGAAAACTATGCAAGAAGTATCTATAACTTATCCAGGAAACATGAGCAAGCATGTAGACACCATGGAGTATCATTTGGTAAGAAATTGTTGGGCAGGTATTTTACAGTCATCAAGTTAGAGCTTTAAGATATCATCTCCTGTCATCATCAGTGCATAAAGTTTCATCCTAGAATTTATCCCCACTTCATTTCACCACCCTGACTTCTAGACAAAGAACTTTAAACACCTGTTAAACAGTGCCATTTAGTTTGATATGTGTAGGATGAATCCATTGTGCTAAGTTTGTGCTGCAAACATTGGGCTGGTAAATATTTTCCCTATGTTGCTGCCTTTTAAAATGTTTTTATTTTTATAAGAACAGTACTATTATAGTGTAACAATAATACAGAAAGATTGGGAAGTAGAGAAAGCCACAAATTCCACCACATATATGTAGTATAATTATTATCATTATAATTACAGCATTTACCTGTTAGTGTTTTACTACATGGAGGATTTTTTTACATAGTTTTCAGCATTCTTTCCTTTTCTATCTTGCCTTTTTGTGGTTGCTATTTCATATCAAGTCTCTTCTGTGAAGCAGTGATGAAATTTATTATAGCGTAGTGTAGTGTAGGAGCATTAAGCATTGTATCTTGAAAGCAGTTTTCTGGCTCAGATCCTGACTCTAATATTCAGTTACTGTCAGACCTTGTGAAAGTTAGACCTTGTGAAAGTTACTTAACATCTCTACTGTCTTATTATGAATAAAATAGGAAAATATGTTTCCAAGATTGTTGTGGAGGTTCAGTTGGTTGGTACATAGAAACAATGGTGACTGACACTCAGTGCTCATAATGTCAGCTGTTATTACTGTTTTATTGTAACCATTCTCTTTTATTATTCTGGGAGTACATATTCTTTGTACATATCAAAGTTAACAAATACGTACTGAGTGTCTACTATATACCAAGTGCTCTATTATTTCCTGGATGATAGAAAGAAGTTTAAGAAATAGTCATTGTCCTCACAGAACTTACATTCTCGTGGAGAAGGAGAAGACCAAACGCAGAAGATAAGCTATTAGGGGGTGCACGGAGTGTACTGTAAGGGCCCTGAAAATGAGTACTGGATGGTCAGTAATGGCTTCTGAACATAATCACACAGCAATTAGTAATCTTCAGAAAGAGGATTAGCAGCAATACTAAGATCTAGAAACTGAAGCCAAGAAAAATTTAGAAAACCATGCTTATCATCATTATGATTGTACAGTCACTGCAGTGATGGGGAAAATGAAGAGAGATGAAATGAAGAAATAAGCAGATCTTGCAGCAGGATGTCCTGTGGCCGTCCAGCATCTATGTCTCTTCGTAAATGTCCCGATTTCTTTCTGGTGAATTAGCCTTTACTAATTTCTATTATGTAGGGTCCAACTGAGAGACAGATTAAACAGTTGCAGCGGAAGGACTGTGCACAAAGTTGATGGATCCATCCTTTCTCTGTCCAAGGGCCCTAGGCTGATCTATAAATGCTTTTCTCCCCCTTATTTTCAAGCTCTGTATCTCCACTGGTGCCTCTCCATCAACACTGAATATTCTTATTATCTAGAAAAGATAGAAAATCTTAAAAACATTCTTCTGTGCAATTTGCCCTCCTTCCTTCACAGTTAAAATCCTTCATTTAAGGTCAGGCAACAGTCCCTCAGAAACGTTTTAATGAAGGAATGATGAATGTAACGATGGATAGATGGATATACAGTTCTCTTGCTGCTGCTGCTGCTCCTGCTAAGTCGCTTCAGTCGTGTCCGACTCTGTGCGACCCCATAGACGGCAGCCCACGAGGCTCCACCGTCCCTGGGATTCTCCAGGCAAGAACACTGGAGTGAGTTGCCATTTCCTTCTCCAATGCATGAAAGTAAGAAGTGAAAGTGAAGTGGCTCTGTCATGTCCGACTCTTCACTACCCCATAGACAGCAGCCTACCAGGCTCCACCGTCCCTGGGATTCTCCAGGCAAGAGTACTGGAGTGGGCTGCCATTGCCTTCTCCAATACAGTTCTCTACATTCTGCTTATCAACTCATTGCATTGTCTTATATTCCTAAGACTCTACTAAAACTGCTCTTTCCAAAGGTTTCATTTACTTGTGCCACTAAATCCTAGGGACACATTTTAATTTTTCTCTATTAATATTTTAACTTTTGTGTTTCATTTGAAATTTAAAGTTTCTTCAACACTCTTCCCTTAGCTTTCATAATATCTTCTATTAGATTGTTTGATTTGTACATGATATTAAAAGCAGCAACAATAATTGAAGGCCAGAAAAAGAGCTTATTTCTTCTACTGAATGTACTTATACTGAATGCATTACTCACTAGCTTTGTAGTCTCACAAAGATCCCCTGTTTGGAGCTGTAATGCTTTATCTATAAAATGAATATTGAATCCCCTGCATTATAGGATTAATGCAAGAAGCAAATCAATAATGTATGGTAGTGTCCAGTTTAGAAAAGATGGAAAATGATGAACAGGTTGTTATTAAAAATATGGTACATTTTCCTAATCCCTTTTCTTAGAAATTTTATGAACTAAAGATTGACCAGACCAAACTGGATCCCAGTTCTCAGAGTTTAAGTATATCAGCTTGCCTGTCACAGGTTGCCTTAAATAAGATCTTAAATGTACTACTTAAAAACTAAAAATGACATTGTTTTATTCTGTAATAATTATAGGAATGAAGCTCATTTATAGCATCTAGCATACAGTTGTCCCAATAAATAAGTATTGAAAGAATAATTAAATGAATGCTGAGTTTCTGATAAATAAAGAGGAGTTTTTATGTCCTAGACTCTTGAAATTTGTTATTTCCTTAAGAACCAGTTTTGCCATTTTCAATTTTATACATTATTTCTTTGTTACAAGATTTCCTAATACATTCCAAGGACCTGCAAAAAGACTCAGTAGAAAAATAGTTTCAACACCTATTGAGTCATAGCAAGCTAACATGGGGACGGCGGGAAAGGGAAACTTTGAAATATGAAGCATTGTGCTTAATAATTTCGCCTCTATTCTATTTTTTTAAAAAGAGTCCTTATTTTCTGCTGTGAAAAACTTCTCAGAAGCTGCTTCAGATTTCCACAGAAGACTTTCACAAGTTGATCTGAATAAGTAAGTTTCTAATGTAAAGCTATCTACTGTTTTTAAAAGCAATGTGGTTAGTGGACTGAAGCATTCGATTCAGAATCATTGCTACTTAAATTATGGTCTTCTAACCAGCAGCATCAGCCTCACCCGGGAGCTTGTTAGAAAGGCAGAATATCAGAGCTCGTGCCAGACCCGCTGAGTTAGAATTCTGCAGTAGACTCTCCAGGTAGTGTATTCACATTAAAGTTTGAGGCGTGTTGCTGTTGAAAGATAAAAAACCCATCCCATGGCAGGGGCTAAGGAAACATGTCTTTTGAAGTTTGCATGGTAAGAATTCTGACTGCTGCTGGTAATTCATAGTTCTGTGGGTTTAAGTGCATTTGTAACCCATTTTANGTTTTGTTCTGCTTTGTTTAGGAGTTGAGGCTTCACGGCAGCGCTGAGTCGGGCAAGTCCGTCGACACCATTTTTCCAGCAGCGTCTGCTCAGTCTGTGTCCCTGGGTCACATTTGGGTAATTCTTCCAGTATTGCGAGCTTTTTTCATTTTGATCATATGCGTTAGAAAGATCTGCGGTGAGTGAGTTTTGAGGTTTCCCACAACTCGCTACAGGCTCACAAGATGGTTAGCATTTTTTTAGCAGTGATTTGTTTTGCCATGAAGGTATGTACATTGCCTTTTTCTTTTTTTTTTTTTTTAGGAAATAATGCTGTTGCATACTGAATAGGCTACACGCAGTGGTAAAGAATCTGCCTGCCAATGCCGGAGACGCAGGTTAGACGCTGGGTCGGGAAGATCCCCTGGAGGAGGGCATGGCAGCCCGCTCCAGTGTTCTTGCCTGGAGAATCCCATGGACAGAGAAGCCTGGCGGGCTACAGTCTCTAGCATCACAGAGAGTTGGACACATCTGAAGTGACTGAGTATGCATGCATGACAGTATAATTTTCATTTATTCAGCTGTGCCGGGTCTCAGCCCCACCCCGTGGGCCCTCTCTCTGTGGCATGCGGGCTCTCCAGTTGGGCCACACAGGCTCAGGACCGCGTGCGCACTGTAGTTGGGGTGCGGAGGCCTCCTTGCTCCACAACACATGGGATCTTCGCTCCCCCACCAGGGATTGAACTGCTCCCCCCTTCACTGCAAGGCTACTTCTTAACCACAGCACCACCAGGGAAGTCCCATAACAGTGTAATCTGTAATATCAGAAAAATTAATTTCATATCCTGTATTCCTTTGCTACAGATATAAATGGTAAATGATAGTTGAAAAAGACTCTTTGTGGCAAAATCTAAAAGACAGAATTTTAAAGGGGATCTTAGAGCTAATGTGGTTCAACTTTCTACATGAATCGTTTCTCTAGAATTTCAGGAAAGTGGTTATCCAGCTGCTGTTTGAATCTTCCAATGATGGGAGACTTGGTACCACATGAGGAAATTCATTCAATTATAAGAAAGATCTACTTAATAGAAAGTTTTCATCATAAAGATATATTTCCCCATAGTTTTCTCCCTCTGACCATGTACTGCTCTCCAAGTCAAGTAGAATAGTCTCGATCTATTTCCGTATAGCGTTTAGGGTTTCAGAAGATGGTGCCATAGTTTCTTGTAAAGAATTGTACTTTTTTCTCAGTGTTGGCTGCTTTTGGATAGTCTCCAGTTAAGCTGTGGTTCCTTGGTAAAAATTAGAAAGGCCCTAGAGTCAGAAATCTATGTTCTAGTTTACTTGGCACATGTGTGATTTACAGCAAGTCATATCTAGGGCTTGCTCATCTGCATTAAGAGGGTGATAACAAGCTATTTTACAAGGCTGTTTGTAGTCAAAGTGACACAAACAAAAGATAGCTCTACATATTACATTTCTTATAAATATTAGTAATTAGTGTTAATATTTAACTGATTGTAATCCTAGGCATTTAGAACCCATCTCTGCCAAATACCAAGTGTCACCTGGGCAAATTACTTCTCCAAGACTCAGATTCCTTAACGGTAGATGGAGATTACTGTGCTTATACCCCATAGGTTTATAGATTTAAGGCTTGCAGGAGATTTAGCTCAGAGAGGGATGTACTGCGTAAATAGTTGCTGTTTTTAGTATGTGTGTTGTTGAAGTGAGCGCAATAGTTGCTGTTTTTATAAAGTCTTAACATCTTGTGAAGATAAATGTTTGTTGGTTCAATAAAATAGCAGCCATCAGTTAAGTCTTTATATAAACCAAAGATTGAAAGCCGGTTTATAGATTAATCTTTTTTTGCCTATGAGTCCATCTTTATATATATATTTTCAATTTATATGATTTATAAGCAGAATATCTTATTTTCAAATTCAGGTCCTATGGAGTTACATAAATAAAGAAGGGCAGTGCTAACACCTAGATGTTTCTGTTATTTCCTTCAGAGAAAATCAGAGATGAGAGTTTGGTGTTAAGTTTTGAATGCAGTTATGTACATGTTTGGTTTTTTATTTATTCATTTGTGTTTACATAAACGGGACCATATATCACCTTGCAACTGCCTTTTTGGGTAACAATTAATCTTATAGGTATCTGTGTCAGTATAATATCTTTTAGCTATTCTCATCTGTTTCATTGTTTTCCATTATATGGCTTGCATGTGTAAACTTTTAGCCCTTATTGAGTCTTTAATTAATTTGTTTTTCCCCCAATTACTTACTATTAGAAAAGTACTTCTATAAAATGTCCCTAAGACCTACTTGAATATTTAATATCTCTATAATCAGTACCTGGATTTCAGTGTCAAAAGGTTAAACACATTTTAAATTTGATTAAGTAGCTGACAAACTGTCCTTCAATTTAAACAACATATTGGGGACATATTGGGAACACAAAGGCTGTATTCTAAAGTGAGGAGAGGCAGTTCAAGACGGTGGGGTAAGGAGATGCAGACGTCACTGCTCCCAGACACAGAGTTGACAGCTACAGATGGAATGGTTTCCTCTGGGGAGAAAAACCAAAACCCCTGGAAACTAATTGAGCACCTCCTTCATTCACCTCAGGCGAAGGAGAAGAAGGCCGTGTGGGTGTGAAAGGGGTAAAGGAGGCTACTGCCCAGTCTCCCCGCAAATCCCACTGCATGGTGTGGCTGTGGCAGCCGACCGTCAGGAGGGCGCTCACAGACCCGGAGCTTCTCTCTGGGGAGCAAAGCGTTTGTCCCCAAATGGGCCACCTCACCTGCGCCTGAGGGTGAGCCTCCCTGATATCTGGCTTTGAAAACCAACAAGACTGCTTCCATGAAACCAAAGGGATACACAGAAGCTAGAAACGGCTCAGGTCGAAAGGCCTCCACTAGAGTTACCTGCCACCAGCCCCAGCACAGAAGCAGCCCTTGAGTATTCCCCAGATTTTATGTGAAGGAGGTTCACTTGTTGATCTTAAAGCACTGGCTTGAGGGGCGGGGACCGGTTAGGACCGTCTCTGGGGTGGAGGCTGGTGGGTACTCTGCTCTTCCTCTGCCTTGCTGAGGCTGGTGGGCACCATCTTTCCCCTCTTCTTCCCTGAAGGCGGTGGTCTTCATGCAGTCCCTCTGCTGAGCTCCACAGCACCAGTATCTCCAGAGGGAAGCTTTTATCTGCATGTAGTATGCTGGCTTCTGCATCTGGTGTCCTGGTTTTTCCAGCTGTTGCCGGCAGACACTCCTTGATTGCTTGGCTCAAGGTTGGGAGGGTGAGGGGGGCTTGCATCCCTGAATCCCATGGGGCTGTAATAATTGGAGAGACAGTTCTTGCCAGACCACCACCCCCAAGGCACTGCGCAGACAGCAGACTGAAACACACCCCGGGTCTTTCTGAGGGAGAGGCTCCTTTGTCTGGCCAAGAGCTCTGGCCTGAACAGCGGCAGGGTTTCGCTCCGGCATGCTTCTAGAAGTCTGCAGGGCTGCCCTCGGGTAGTGAAGGCTGATGGAAGCGCTCTCTGCTCCTCCTCTGCCTCACTCCAGCTTGACCCTCTCTCAAAAGGGTGCTTATAACCTTTTCTGGCCCTCCGATTTTTGAAGCTGCTACTGGGGACATCTCTACATTTTCCAACTCTGTGTGACCAGAGGGAAGTATGCCTGCAGCTCTTAAGGGGGTAGATAGGAAAAGAGAGGCAACAGACCCAGGGCTGTCTTCTGGGGAGGGAGGCCCATAATCCTGTAAGCACAGCTCCAGGCTGAGGGGCAGGATTCTGATTGCACCCAGGTGAGTGCTGGCTGTAAGGCAGAGACCCAGGAGGGCGGTGCTGTCTTTACGCTCTCTCTCTGCCATGGTCCAGAAAGCCAGCATCTCTCGGGGGAGCTCTTAGTGATGTCTGGTGCCTCAGCTTCTGTGGCTGCTGCCCGCGGGGTGCCCTGATCCCCTGGCTCTGGTGGCCAGACAGGATTGCTTCCCTCAGTCCTGCAGGGTTAGGATGATCTGAGAGTCAGTGCGTGGGAGGCTACCACCGGCAGTCACTGCACAGATGAAACCCAGCCCATCTTTCTGTAAAAGAGGTCTGTTGGCTTGTCCTAGAGCTTCATCCCAAGGCACGGGTTTTAGGCTTTCCAGGTGGCGCTAGTGGTAAAGAACCTGCCTGCCAGTGCAGGAGATGCAAGAGAGGTGGGTTCAGTCTCTGGGTCAGGAAGATTCCCTGGAGGAGGGCACGGTAACCCAGTCCAGGATTCTTGCCTGGAGAATTCCATGGACAGAGGGGCCTGGCAGGCCGGCGTCGCGAAGAGTTGGACATGACTGAAGTGAGTTGGCACACATACACCAAATAGAAGGCATGGAGTTGAAAGAAAAGTATGTTAATGGAATTGAGAAATGCACTGGCGGGTTCACTAGCAGACTGGACAAAGCAGAAGAATCAGTGGCTTGGAACACAGGCAGTGGAACTCATGGAGCAACAAAAAGTAAGAAGGGTTTTCTAGAAGTGATGACAGTTGAAGGGACCTCTGGGACAACATCAGGTGAAACAATGTGTGTCTTATAGAGGTTCCAGAAGGAAGGAGAGAAGGGGCTGAAAACGTCCCTAACCTGGGGTAGGAGACAGACATCCAGATCAGGAAACCCAGAGAGTGCAAATAAGATGAGCTCAGAAGATACCCATCCTAAGACAAACTGTAATTAAAATGTCAGAAAAGGTGTTAACAGGAACAGTGGAACTCCCCTGGTGGGCCAGTTGTTAAAACTTCGTGCTCCCTCTACACGAGGCATGTGTTCTATCTCTCATCAGGGAACTTAGATTTTGTGTGCCATGGCAAGGCTGATTTCTTAAAAAAGTCTCAACAAACTGGATACAGAGGCTGTGTATGTCAGTATAACAAAGCCCGTATATGACAGAACCACAGCTGCCTTTATGCTCAATGGTGAGAACCCCAAAGCATTTCCTTTAAGATCAGGAACAAGGCAAGTATGCCCACTCTCACCATTTTTATTCAACGTGGTATTGGAAGTGCTGGCTGTAGCTGTTTGGAAAAATAAACAAAGACATCCAAATCAGGAAGAAGTAACTGTCATTATTACAGAAGAAAATCCTAATGATTCCACAAATAAACTGTTGGGTTGGCCCAAAAGTTCATTCAGGTCTTTCTGAAAAATCTATGGAAAAACTCAAATGTACCTTTTGGCCAACCCAATATTAGAATAAATGAAATCTGTTAAGTTATAGGACACAAAATCCATGTACAGGAACCTTTGGTGTTTCTATACAGTGATGATCAAAAGAAAAATTAAGGAAACACCTCGTTTACAATTTTGTCAGGTTTTCTTGATTCCTGAATCAATAATATTGTACAATACTCTCTCTCTACAGTTCTCCAAAAGATGGCATATGTACTAAGGAATACCTGTGACCTGTATCTCTAGTATCTCAGCTTATATATAGGTCAGACTATTAATGTTTATTAACAGTTCAGCATGTATACTTGTTTCATTAAGGATGATCCACTTGAGGCCATACTAAAATTCAAAAGCCAAAGTAATAAATTCTGATATACTCTGGGAAATCTAAATGATGACATTTTAAATGTCTTCAATCATTAATACTTACAGAGAGTTCTATATTTTGTCATACGGAAGCTTTACATTCTGAAGCAGCTGTAGGGTTTGACTGTTAGGCCTGATTCCTTGGTTTTTTTTTTGAAGAAGGGATCTGAAGCACTGCCCCCGGCCGCCCACGGCTGCCTTTAATTTACTTTGTCCGCACTGGGCGGTCACTGCTGCGAGCAGTGTTCCTCTGGTTGTGGCGAGGGGGCCCAGCCTCTGGCCGCGGTGCCTGCCTTCTCACGGCGGAGGCCTCTATCTTGTGGAGCGCGGCCTCTGGGCTGTGCAAGCTCAGGGGTGAGTGTGGGCTCGGCAGTTGTGGCGCACGGGCGTGGTTGTCCCGCAGCGTGTGGAGTCTTCCTGGATCAGGGCTTGAACCCACGTCCCCAACGTTGACAGGTGGATTTCCTTAATTACCGGACCACCGGGGAAGTCCAAGCCTAATTCCTGATTAGAGTGATTAACCCAATATGTCCCTTTCTGCAAGGTAGAATTCCACACAGTGGGGAGAGAAGTGGCTTGATCTCCTGAGCTACTTATGAGATGAAGTAGGAAATCAGGTGCAGACTTTCCTTCTAGAACGGAATAAGTGTGTCTTTGTGGGCAACCCATATAAAGCTGCTTTACCTTTGTGGAATGGGCTTCGTTATCCTTACTAATTATGATATTTTTGAAATACAAGCTACTTTGCTTGTTGCTTTTTAATTCTGAAGAGTATTGGGAATAACTCATTCTTGTGGAATCTTGAAAAAGGCAACACAAATGTAATTATTTTTTAATCTCTTATTAAAAACTATCCATAAATTATCCATACTTTATGGATGTCTGTGGATGTCTAGGCAGTTAGATAACTAATGCCTGTAACTTACAGGAAAATATCTGCTTATTTCCAGCTGCTTGGGTTGATAACATGATATGATTCGCTAGACGCATCTTATCAACTCCTTTCTTTGCTTAAAATTATACCATTGCCTAAGTGTCTCAAACCAACAACATAAGGTTTTACTTTGGAATAACAAAAGTGGATATCAGGAGGAGACACAATATTTCATCATGAATGAGATCTAACAAAGACACCACAAAAGAGAAAGGAAGAGCATGTGAAATGTAATGTATGAGTACTCTTTAGCTCAGCCTGTTCTCTGTGTTTTTTCTGCTAGGCACATCATCTTTGCTCCAAGCAGCCACAACAAATATGCTGGTGAATCATTTCCTGGCATCTTTGATGCTATGTTTGATATTGAAAATAAAGCAGATCCTCGTTCAGCCTGGAAAGAAGTGAAGAAACACATTTCTATTGCAGCCTTTACAATTCAAGCAGCGGCAGGGACTCTGAAAGAATCCTTATAGTGAAGTCTCAGGTAACTGGCTGCCATTAAAAGTCTGAGGATAAAGTCCATCTTTCTGATAACACGTGAAGCCAGAGTATGCAAAAATTTTGCTTTTCATGTCATGTTTTGACTTTAGACTTGCAGCTTGTTCATCTGTAAAAAGATTTTTGGCTCTGAAAATTTAAAACTTCATCGTCAAAGTGCTAATCCAATAAAACAAACCAAAGAGCTTCGTCATTTGTAGTAGAATGGAGTAAGAAATGGCAACCCACTCCAGTGTTCCTGCCTGGAAAGTACCACGGACAGGGAAGCCTGGCTGGCTACAGTCCAAGGACATGACTGAGCACAGATATGCATGCATATGGAGAGAAAGAGAATAAAGAGAGAAAGAGATAAAGTAAATGAAAATTCCCCAAAATAAAATATGGCAAGGAACTTAAACTCTTCAAACATTGTTGTCTAGAATGTAAAACAGTACAACCACTTCAGAAAACAGTCTGAACTGTTTTTATAAAACTTTTTTATAAAGTTAAATATATACTTATAGCTCAAATTATACTTCTAGGTATTTACTAAGGAAAAGTAAAAACATGATCACCAAGACTCTTGGCATGTTCATTGCAACTTAATGTGCAAATAATTGTAAGGAAAGATTGAAGGCAGGAGAACGGGATGACAGAGGATGATATGGCTGGATGGCATCACCGACTCAATGGACGTGAGTTTGAGTAAACTCGGAGCTGGTGAGGGACAGGGAGGCCTGGCATGCTGCAGTCCATGGGGCTGCAGAGTCGGGCATGACCGAGCAACTGAACTGAACTGAATGTAAATGTCCATCAATAGATGAATGAATAAACTGTTGAATGGACTATGACTCAGCAATAAAATGGAAGGATTGCAGTCCATGTAACATTATTGGCAGACATTGTCAAGGGCAAGAAGCCAGATGCAAAAGAATGCTTAGTATGAGATTCTACTTAATACACAAAGAAGCAAAACTAATCTATGGTATTAGAAATTAGATCAGTGATTGCATGGGTCAAGTAAGGGTCAGGGGGGTTTGCAGCACAGAGGGAAGTTTCTGGCACTATGGGACTTTTCTCTATCATGATCTGGATGATGTTTACACGGGTATACACATTTGTCAAACCTCATCAAATTGTACACTTAAAATGTATAACAATGATACCTTAATAAATGTTATTACCAAGAAAAAAAATCTGGCAAGGAAATTGGAATAGCTTAGTTTTCCGTCTATTCTCATAATTTTTAATTTAGAAAAAAGTCAGTTATTGAAGAAAACATTGGAATTTTACCTTTCTCTCTGCATTACCAGATCTAATAAATATCTTAAAATTTAGCAGAATACATCATTTTTTCCTAAAAGCAAAGTGACTGTATTGTCTTCTAGCTTGCTTTCTCTGTATGTTAACATTTAAAAATAAAATTATATAAATATACATGTAATACTGATATATATATATGTATATACACATATATAAATATATACATTTTTAAGCTTTAAAAATCCTTCTGTGAATGGAGAGTTTGTGGCTAAATTTATACCCTCTCTGCCTTCCTCCCACTCCCTTACCTTCTCCTGTGAAACCATTATGGAGTACAAATGGTAAAGAAAAGTGTAATAGCTATGCTTTTGATAGCTAGCTTCAGCCCTACTGAATAATATGTCTGATAGGTGAAAGTAGTTGACCCTTGAAGAACATGAGGGTTAGGGGTGCTGACTCTGTGTGCCTGGAAACCCATGTGTCACCTGCCAGTTGGTCACTCCATATCCTTGCTTCTGCATGCATGCATTCAACCAACTTCATACATTCATGAAGTACTGTCGTATGTATTTAGTGAAAAAAATCAGGTAAACAGAGCTATGCAGTTGAAACCTGTGTTGTCCACAGGTCCACTGTAGTTGCCACAAATTTTCATACTCAGTCCTGTTGAAAAGAATCATACCAGCTTGTACAAACTTTCATGAAGAACCTAATGACTCAGATTTGTGGGTGACTAAGATGAAAGCTTCCTAAAGCTTGATTGTTCAATTATTTTGCCAAAAAGAGAATCAAAATTAGATGAGCCCTCATAGGCAGGCAGGCACACTGACTACAATCAGAAGCTTTAAAGGGCAATGAAAGGTAGTACTTATGAAATATAAATTTATAAAACATATTAGACCTTTGTAAAAATTGTTTTAGCAAATCTAAGGATTTAATTTTCTATGTTACCTTAGCTCAAAACTCATATTAGGCCACAGGAGTAATTGTATTTTAATTTTTTACTTAAAGCACTGTATTGTACAGACAATATTTGGTTATGACCCACAAATCACTTTTCTACTGTCACAGGTGAGTAAATCACTATGTAGAAGACATGTATTACTGAAACATCACATGTGGTTAGTACTATGAGTTTAGAGGAAAATAGTAACCTTTGCAACTTACTGTTTACTTAAGTGGTAAGTTATTTTGTTTCTATCATCTTTAATCAACAATTGATTATTCCAACAGAGCAATGCTTATTTTCATGCAATGTAATAAACTGAGGACATTAGATAGTGAATGTGTATAACCACATGTTCAATTCACAAAGTGTTTGTTTGAACTACTTTTTTTAAAAGTCTGTTTTTCCTGTAGGTTATTTTATCTATGAGATGTTCATACTTGCAAAACTATATAGAAAAAATTTATAGTAGTCACAAAACATGAAAAACGGGGTAGACTGATCAAATCACCATGGAAAATCATCATCTTACAAAGGTAGACAGAGTGAAAAGAAGATGGCAGTAAGAAGTACTTACCTAGCAATAATCACTCTAAATAGAATAATTCAGTTCTCTAGTCAAAGGTAAAGAGTGGCTGGATGGATTAAAAAGACCTAACTTTTTCAGTTCTAAAGTTACACATAGGCTCAGGGTAAAGATTTGAGTATAAGAGGATATTCCATGCAATTGGAAACCAAAAGAAAGCAGGTATAGCCAGACAAAATACACTTGATGCCAAAAATTATAAAAGACAAAAGGTCGCTGTATAATGATAAAAAGGTCAAAACATCCAGAAAATACAGCAGTCATAAATATAAACCCCACATTGGCACAATGAAATATGTTAAGCAAATTCCAACAGATCAAAAGGGAGAGATAGATAATGCAGTAGTACTAGAAGCTTTCAATATCCCACTGATTAGTGACCACTGATAATCCACAAAAAATCAATAACAAATACTGAAATTTAACCATACCTATAACAAATGACCTTAATAGACACATATATCATTTGAAACAAGAGCAGCAAAATGTACATCTCAAGTGCACACAGAACATTATCTAGGATCTATAATATGATATGAAAAGAAACGAAAGCAAAAACACATCTCAATAAATACTGAAATCATGACAACTGTCTTTTTGGATAGCAATGGTGTGAAACTAGAAAGCAGCAGTAAGAGGAAAGCTGGAAAATCTACACATACATGGAAAATAAACAAGACACTCCTAAACAACCAGTGAGTCAGAGGGGAAAAAAATTATGTCACAACAAATGAAAATGGAAATATAACCTATCAAATCTTATGGGATGCAGGAAAAGCAGTTCTAAGAGGACAGACTATAGCAAATAATTTCATATATTAATTAAATCTCAAAAAAAAAAACCACCCTAACTTTACACCTCAAGGGTCTAGAAGAAGTTAGCAGGANAGCCCACCAGGCTCCTCCCTCCATGGGATGCTCCAGGCAAGAGTACTGGAGTGGGTTGCCATTCCCTTCTCCAGGAGATCTTCCCAACCCAGGGATTGAACCTGGGTCTCCCACATTCCAGGCAGACACTTTAACCTCTGAGCCACCAGGGAAGCCCCATATTACAAAGCTACAGTAACCAAAATAGTATGGTACTATCAGAAAAACAGACAAAACACATAGGTCACTGGAACAGCATAGAAAACCCAGAAATAAACCCATGTGCTTATGGCCAATTAATCTATGACAAGGGAGGCAAGTGTATACAATGGAGAAAAGATAGTCTCTTCAATAAGTGGTGCTGGGAAAACTGGCCAGCTACATGTAAAAGGATGCAATTAGAACACTCTAATGTCATACACAAAAATAAACTCAAAGTTACTCAAAAAATAAACTCTTTGCATTAAAGACCCAAATGTAAAGCTGGATACCATAAAATTCTTAGGAAAATAAGGCAGAACACTGACATAAATCACAGCAAGATCTTTATCAGTCCACGACCTAGAGTAATTAAAATAAAAACTAAAATAAAGAAATGGATTAAACTTAAAAGCTATTGCATAGCAAAGGAAACTATAAAATGAAAAGATGATGAGAATGAACCATTATCTTACACCACTTGTAACTTGAAATATGTCAAAGATTTAAACATAAGGTCTGATAGTTTAAAATTCTTAGAAGAAAACATAGAGAAGAAACTCCTCAACACTGGTGTTAGCAATGATTTTTCTGGATGTGACAACACAAGCAACAATCAACAAATACGACTCCATCAAATTTAAAAGATTTTACACAGAAAAAAAAAACAATAAAACAACCAAATGAAAAGGCAACCTACAGAATGAGGGAAACTTTTTGCAAATCAATTATGATAAGGGGTTAATATCAAAAAAAGAGAGAGAACTCACATAACTAAGGAACAAAAATGCAAACAATCTGACTTAAAAATGGGCAGAAGCCCATGAGAAAGCAGCACTGACATATATACAGTATCACATATAAAACAGATAGTGGGAAGTTGCTAAGTAACACGGGAGCCCAGCTTAGCACTCTGTGATGACCTAGAGGGGTGGGATGGGGGGAGGGAAGAGAGGTTCGGGAAAGAAGGGATATATATGTGTGTGTGTGTGTGTATATTAATATTTATATAATTATGACTGATTTGTGTTATTGTAGAGCAGAAGCCAACACAAATTTAAAAAGTGACTATCCACCAATTAAAAATTAATAACCTTTAAAAAATTAATAAAAGTGGGCTGAAGACCTACACAGACATTTTCCCAAAGACATACAGATGGCCAACAGGTACATAAAAAGACGCTCAGTGTCATCAGGGAAATGCAAATTAAACGACAATGAGGAATCATATCTGTTAAAATGGCAATTATTGAAAAAACAAGAGATAACAAGTGCTGGTGAGAATGTGGAGAAAGGGAATCCTTGGTATACAGTATGGAGGTTCCCCCAGAAATTAAAGGAAGGACTAA